AAGGATAGACAATATTATTAATTTTTATATAAATTATTTATAAAGTATTGTAGACTTCAATATATGTTAACCCTAAAAGTGTACTTATTCTGATGCGCTTACCTATCAACACTATTTTTTCAAGTCACGCTTGACTTTTTCCAAAGGTTCATAAGACTTAGTGTGGTTCTATCAGCAACATTTTTCGTCATGGCTCTCTCACGTTTATATTATTATTTTTTTTTTGTTTCATTTACTTTTTACACTTTGCTGACTGTTCTGTTAAATAAGCTTCACATAATGAGATTTCCACTAACGGCTGTTCAATGTGTCATACAGCGAACTTCATGATACATTACTTCTATGTGACACATGATCCATTAGAACGCATGCGTACGAGTATATTAGCTTTTCAATAATATACACACATTTTTTTAAATAAAGTGATTCATTCAAACGTGATCAATTAACGGAGTCTCATTTTTTGCTTACACATTCAATGCAGCTTCACATTATATAGTAAGCACGGCTTTGTATCCCGCTCCGCGTAACTCATAATTACAGCCTATGAATATATGAAATAATGGTTTCTTTTTTATTTTTGAATTGAGTGTACTCAGCGCATCTACCTCTGTGCTGTACTGTACTTTAAGAATAGATAACTTATTATTTTATCATCTCTGTATTATACTATAGTGCACTGCAAGCATAAATAGCTAATTTCATTATTAAAAAAAGTAAATAAATTTGGAGCAGTTTTTAATTGGTTCTTTAACATGTTTTCCATTATAATAGAGTAAAGATAAAGAAAATAAATTTGTTAGACGTTTTTATTGTTAGGGTTAAATATATTCGTATATGTTGAACTAAATATTTCTCTTTCCATCTTTATTTTTATGGCATAATAATAATATTTATATGAACATGCTTATATCACATTAAATAATTAATGGTATATGCCTTATTCCATAGTATAGCTGTAAATTTAAATGCTTTTTAATTACATCATTATTTGCACCATGAAGTGGATTAGGATTTATACCAGTAGCCTGGTTATCCCACAAGAGTATGTTGTTTCAATTATGCAATTAAAAGCCATATAATTTTTTATTAAAATTGTAACAAAATAATTGAACACATTTTTTTGTTACATTTTCACATATAACAAAAGGGTGCATTCACATTTTCCAAAACGGCACACTTCAATTGAAACGTTTTATTAAAATTAAAAATTATTTTACACCCGCATTTCAAAAGAACCAACGATGTATGAATGAAGATTTCGAGTGATTGTTTTCCATTTGAATTAATAACTTCAGTTATGCATTTTAAGTAAAAATCAATAAAAATAGTGTGTGTCCGTTGATTTGCTTGTAAAATCTTTATTATCTACAAATGAATAGAGCATCGAATTGAATAGGTTAAATCTATTGAAAATGATAACCCGTTCTGCCATATTTTTAACTATAATTATTATAATATTTTTTAACGATTTTTCAGCTTAACTATGTATTAAATAATAATTGTTAAAAAATAATTGTTTTATATATTTCTAACAAAATTTAATTAAAATTTTTAACACTATTCGCTAAATTAACTAAATGTCCCATTAAAAATGTCCTCATTTTAAAGTAATTTGCTGAGTATTAAAAATGTAAATCTGAGATTTGAAGTGCAAATTGGAAAATTTTTTTTCTTCTTAATTTATTTTGCTAATATCATTTTTTATTTCAATGGCTTTTAAACTAGCCAAATAACAAATAAAAATATAACTTGGTTTCACAACTATATACGATGAAAGATATATAATCTAGAAAAATTGAGTGCATCTAAGTTCACATCATTATTTTATGCATGGGCGCAGTCAGGATATGATATCCCTTCTATATCTTATGCTGACTACGCCAATAGATTAGCTAATTAAAGATGACCAAGAAAACATTTCCCCACGACATAAGACGAGAATAGCAAAAAAAATCTTTCTACTGAAATAATCATCAATTTGCTGTTTAAATATATTTTATTTTATCGAAATTATTTTACTAAAAAAAGGGCTTCACATTGAAATTCATCTGCTACATAAGACTGCTGAATGTATGTACATATATATCCTTACCTCAGTCGGTGATCTACCATTTATTACGGTGATTCGCACATTGGGTCTCATATGCCCTCATCTTGGTCATGTTCATGATTTTATCTACCAATTAATTCTGTTTTATAACTGCTAAGGTACGTTCAGTGCCTGACTAAGCAAGTGTTATGACTAAGCAAGTATATCATTTATTAATACGTACTGTATTTTTGCTTTTATTATTACTACGCGTAAAATTTTTTAACTAAGCTTAGCATTTTCTATAAATAAATAAAAAAAAGTAAAGCTGAAATATGTACGTACATAATTTACAATGGATATCTATAATCTATACTACTTCAAAATGAATGAAATACAAACGATACAAGCTAAATGTTTCTTTTTCACTACAATTTTAGGTCAAGTTTTACTTTTTATTCTTGAACTCAATAGATTGCGACATTTTGTGTATATGTGTGTATGTTCACTTGTACTGAATACCTCATTTATTGGTGTTAAATGCTCACATCCGTAAATAATCAACTGCCGATAGTTTTAACGCATCTAATGATGTCACCTATAAAAACTTCCAAAACGGTTCATTACGACCATTTGCGGTCTTTGTCGAGACAAGATAAATGATATTAACAAGCAAGTAGAGGAGAAATGCAATGCACTATGCATTTACGGATTGTTGTGTATTACTGTTTTTGTAGCAATTGTAACCTTACCCTATAACAATTTGAATGAATTGCATTTATATACTGTAGACCAAACGGAATCTTTTTAAAGTTAATTCTAATTAAATTAAAAAAGACAATTACGTTAATGACCTTTTCTTTTTTGCAAATGAAAATAAATGAATCAAACATAATTGAAAAGGTACGCGCAAAATCTCTACGCCAATTTGTTTGGCAGCTGCAAATGTCGACGGGCACGTCATTAACCTTCTGTTACCAACAAAATTGCTATGTTAATAACTTAGTTACTGCAAATTGCAGCGATTAATACAACAACAACAATGCGACTTAGGTACAGTGGGAGCAGAGTGCCGGCGAATTGCAAATTTGTTGAGGCGTAAACTTGAGTATAAACAATCGTTTTACATCGTCAAGGTAATGGATGCAATGCGCTGTGCAACTCAGCTCGGCGCTATTAAAATGTTGAAGAAGACATGGCTTATTCGCTGCAGGAGCAGCAGAGTTGCGCTCGTATCCTACCTATTATCGCAACCGGAAGTATGCGTGGAAACTGTGCAGGGGTGTTTGTGTAGTGCGGTGTATTGTTTTTAAAGCTCAGCGTGCCAGCCTGCCTGCCTCTTTTCTGACAACGTAAAATGTTAATGCACTTCAAAATTCAATTGAAGCGTTAAACAATTGAAGCAGAAACAATTGCAACTATGCAAAAAAGTAGAGAATAAATAATATAAAAAAAAGAAAAGAAAGAAGCCAACGCAAACTGTTGGAGGAGTAGAAAATTAAGTAGAAGTGATGTACAAAGTGCATAGGCATTCGAGTAATTTATGCAATTGACTGCATTTCAGTTGCACTCCAATGTACTCGATCCTGTTAAAGTTTTCGAACCATCCACCTATGTAATTTTGTTATAATTAAATGATTTACGTATATAAATTTTAATTATTTGATTATATATCTATCATATTTTGATTATATACTTGCATACATGTATGTACATATACTTTTACGTTTTTATGTGATTGCATATTTGCAAAAAGGCAAGTATTTTCTTAAACACAAATGTAAACGACTTACAGCAAGATTCAACTAATTGACTACTAAACATCAGAAGAAATCATTATTTGTTATTCGGGACACCAAATATGGAAGTAATGTTTCTTACTAAGGAAGAGGAGTACATTCTTAAGAAAGTACATTAGGTTTTGATGTCAAGTTACCTGTCTGTCATGCTAGCATCTCAATAAGATGCAACTGTTTAAAATGGCGAAATGCCATTTGTACCTGTAGAGGGATGAGATTTTAAGTCATACTGTATCTGATGATTTGGTTTAGATTTTGACCAGGAGTAGTATACTAGGTCAGGAGCCCATTATCCAGTTTAAAATTAGGAATTATTAAACGTAGGATCTTTAAGTCATACTGTATCTGAATATTAAACGTGGAACCTTCTGCTTTTTTATTCGAAAGACTGCATATAATTCGTTTGGCCAGTATCAGTTATTAAAACAAAAAAATCTCTTCAGGTTTCAGTGCTCTGTAGAGTGAGAGTTCAAAACCCAAATATTTTATGAAACTGTTGTATTCAATTTACTATTTATATCTAAAGCTTTGCAAACAACGGAGACATTAGGTACCTATAAGGCAGTTGGGCAACATATTGATTCTTTTAAAATGGATATTTATTTATCCTATTAAATTATAAAACTCGATGACGGCAAATAAAGAACAAATCTCTTATTTATGGATATATTTTTTTTAAGTATCAGCTAATATAACTTGTTTCAGGAAAATCAAACATCAACGTTATTATTCTTTTTAATACTTACATCTAAAAGATTTTGCTATCTGAAAAACACTTGGTATGAGATATGATTAATACATTTTTAACACAGAAATGTCTGCAAATAAGGAGCTTTATTAGGTCATTTCCAGCTCTTTTCTTTATTTACTAATTTGAGTATTTATTTCGTAAAAAATAAGAGATCCCCGATGCGCTCAAGCACTTAATCTGCTCAGTCAGCCGCAGAGGAAAAAATGTTTATAGATAATAGTAAATAAAACTTTATTGAATAAACGATAAAACGATAAAATTATCCCGTTTTACGACTACAGTTCATTTAATATTGTTAGTATTACAAACTCGAATATATACATATATATTTTATTATTTATATATTATATACATAACAATACAAAACTTCTATATATATAAAGAATATCGAATAAAATAAATTAATAATTATTTTTATTTACAGATAGTGCCACTTACGTCGGTAATGTTTTAAAAATCAAGAGCGTTAAGAAGGAAGATCGCGGTACATACTATTGCGTAGCCGATAATGGTGTCAGTAAAGGCGATCGTCGTAATATCAATTTAGAAGTTGAGTTCTCGCCGGTAATCACAGTGCCACGACCACGTCTAGGACAAGCATTACAATATGATATGGACTTGGAATGCCATATTGAAGCCTATCCACCACCAGCAATTATTTGGTTAAAAGACGACGTACAACTTACAAACAATCAACATAACAGTATATCACATTTTAACACAGCCGATGAATATACCGACTCCACATTGCGTATTTTAACCGTAGAGAAACGTCAGTATGGAGATTATGTATGCAAAGCTGTTAATAAATTGGGACAAGCCGAAGCACGTGTAAATCTATTTGAAACTGTGATTCCAGTGTGCCCACCGGCTTGCGGGCAGGCATATTATGGTGGCGCAGAAAATATTGCAACAACATCCTTCGTATTTTTGGGAATATTGTTGGTTGGCATGTTTGCGAGATAAACGAAATGAGGCGAATTAAAAACGATTCTAATTTTATTTTTTCAAATACAAAAATGCAATACATACTGCAATGATGTGAAGACTCGAATAACAAATACGAAAGCCAATACGAATATAAATAATGTAAACGATAGAAATATCCATACATCACATTCCAAAACGTAAAATTAAATTGATCTTTAATAATTAAGTAAGACTGTAAACAGATTAAGGTTTCTCAAGTTGTAATAAAAAATAGTATTAAATATTCTAAGATCAATTGTATTAGTAGCCTATCAATTAGAACATTCAGATACAAAATATAAACAGTCTTACTACTTTTGATATTAGAATTATTTATAAACTATGAATTGAAGACATATATAGATATATATTACACTAAAAAATTATATGCTGAGTTTGATATTTATCTAAAGTTATAAAAATTGTGCTATTTCTTCTTGAGTCTCCCACTTAGAGCCTTGATTAAGAAAATTCTCTGTTTACAGTAAAAAGTCGCAAAACACTTTTGTGTTATATTCTATTTTTGTGTAATAGAAAATTACTTTATTTTCGATTTTGAAAACGTCCAAACTAAGTTTAAGTATAATTTTCAGTTCAACATGCAACTAAACCCGTTTATTTTAAAAAATTTCATTTATATCAGTTTATTTTGTTAAATAAACATTTACTTTTATAAAATAATAAAATTGGTTTCCACTTAAATTTTTTAAAAATATTTAAAAAAATGTTTACCAGAAATAATAAAATCAGCTTTTTTTAACATAACCCCGTCCAAAATTGATAATTAAAATATTTTGTTCGATTATTAGAAACATACATATTTTGTATGTATTATTTAAAAATCTTAAATTATCACATATATAAAACTTTACGAATGAATTCTCTTTTATACAAATATTTATATATATTGTATTATTAAAAATGTTTTAATTTATTAAATAAATAAGAAAAATATTTTTAATTTATACATATATATTGTATAGAATAAAATAAATCTCATATACCTTTGATTTTTGTATTTATATTTACATAAGAAATTTAATTCTTATAATAAATTAAGAAATTTATTGGATTATAATATATATATATATATATATACATTATATATTTATAGTAATCTAAAATCTTTTACATTTTTTTACAAAGAAGGCAATTATTTTATTATATAAAATTAATATAAAATATATATAAAAATAATTGTAAAATTAATATCATTAGTTTGTGTAAGAATAAAATTAAAGTAACTTTTTTACCCATTTAATATTTAAAATTGGGTGTAAATATACAAAATGTCCCTTTAACATTAATTTAAACTAAATTTATAAATTATAATTAATTGTAATAATAAAAACAAATAAAATACATGCAGTAAAAACAAAACTCATCCATTTTTTTTAAATATTTATATTTATCTTGTTAAAAATGTTTAGAAGCGTAAAATATATGAAGGGCTTAGTAGTTAATGTCTCGATGTGCGATTCTTTTATACAAAATAAATAACAATAGTATTTTATATATGCTGTGGGATCAGAACAACATTAATTAATAAAAAATTGTAGAGTTGTAGTTTCAAACATAAAATATAATTTATAAAATTGCGAAAATCAATTAAAAAGCTTTTCGATCATTTTTAAACTCAATGTTCTTTTAAGAATTGCAAAATGTGTATATATAATATTGTTTACTTCATGAAACTAACAACCTTTATGTTTACCAAATGTTCATTAAGTTCTAAGATAAATGACTGATGTTAAGATATAAAAAAAAACATCAAGTTAAATTCTGGTATTACGTTTACGTTTATCATAATCTAACCACATTATTTTGTTGGATTTCATATAAAAAATGGCAGTTAAGCTGTATACAATATTCAATAATACAAGAAAAATTACATTTATAATATAACTTAAATATTTGTTTTAATATAAATTGCAATCCATTGTTGAAAACCTAAAAGCATTGCTGAGTTTATAATAAAACATTCGACTAATTATTTCAAGCTAATAGAATACATGAAAGCTTTAAAAACTATTTAAGAAACAATATTCAGTTACTAGTATTTTTGTTATTTAAATAACTAAAATTATATACTTGAACAGGAATAAAATTTACTTTGTGGAAGTATCTCCAGTTGACAAACGATAGTAAAAATTGTATTCAGATTCATAATCCGAATAGGTTTGATTATTAAATGTTTTGTGATGTGGAATATAATGTCTCAAAGGATTTTCTAATAGAAAATTATATAGTTTGGAACATCTATTTAAAATATGTTCTGTATTAATGCCCGTTTCTTTGATTTTATCAAAAAGTTGTGCAATAATCTCCTTTTGTAGTTTCTGCTTTTCTTTAAACAAGTTTGTATCAACTGAAAAACAAATTTATATATATGTATATAATATGTATATAAGACTATAAGCATTTATAAACGTACTATGTGTTAAATCCAAACTATATTTTAAATCAGTAGAATGTTTGGAAATAAGGACTGCCTGTTTAGTACGTGTAATTATTTCCTGTAAGGCACCGTATGGTGTTAATAACGCACCTGGCGTCATTTGCAATGCTGGGGATAGTTCTTGAGATTCTATGATTATTGGATTTGGTGACAAGTAAAATGCGCTGAAAAAATATTATTTATTAGATTTATTTTGTATATTTAAAGTTAAACTTTTAACTAACCATGGATTGGATATGCAACTAAAATTTTCAATCGGACTTTCAGCAAAAGTATTTAATTCCAATAAATATGTAGGTAAATTATTATGTGTACCACCACTCATAACAGTAGCATCCATAGAACAAAAACTGCGTAGCAGAGCACTGCTGTTAAGAGAACTCATTGTTATGTCAAGATCAAGTTTTGTACTGCAGAGTACATTTTCAGTTCCCATTTCAAAACTATCGGCACTTAATGTGATGTCGTTTACTTTAATTTGTGGTTGTAAAAAATTGTTACGCACATCCATTGACCAAGTAGTACTTTTTGGTTTCATCTCATTTAACAATTGCCTCAAGATATTTTTAGAATAAACTATTTTATCCTTAATTTGATTTAACTGCACCATTTCAACTTGTAAGCGATTAACGGAAGCATTTATATCGAAATAAACTTGCTTTATCAAGCCAAGAAGAACCTAAATTATAAAGAAATTAAAATAATTAACAATTTAACAATTAATTGTGTTTAACTTTATATACCTCATGATTCTCAATTTGTTTATTTGTATTTTCGATATCAATTTTAAAACGTTCTATTTGCTGTGCAATGTATTCATTCTCGCTATTTGAAAAGATAATAGAGTTTAATTGCACGAGGTAATTTGATATTATTTCTTCCACATTCTCATCATTTTCGGAGTTATACAAATTCAACTTCTTTTGCAATTCGTCCACAAATTCTATATAAGCTTTGGAAAACACTTCCTCAAGATGATCGCGTTCAATCCTTACTTTTATATATTTTGCTACCAGACCTAAAAAACTTGCTTTTGTTTTTGCAATTTTCATTTCATAGGACGAAAAAGGCTCTTTACTCAAAGATGGTTTATATGAAAACCCAAGAGTTTTGTTTAATGTCTGTCCATTCAGAGATATAATGTTTTGTAGTTGCTCATCTTTAAGGCGCATAACAACATTAAAAATGGAGAAGTTTGGTATATCAGAAAAGTTGGTACGAATTTCTTTCCATAATTCTTCCTTGCTCTCAGCTAATTGAACATGAAATAGAATATTTAATTGGGAAATTATCTTATTTTTTATTCTTGTACTTACCACTAATGTTACCGATTTCAGTATTATTGTAAAAATTTTCCAATATATTAAGAGTATTTTGTACTGCTTCCATTGCGACATTGTCATTGTTAGTGTGAGTTGATAGTTTAACTGGCATAGTGGCTAGAATATTCTTTTTATTTTCATTTTCTTCAGTCAGCTGTTTATCCAAGGATTCACTTTTAAATTCAAGTATCGCATTTTTAGCCTTCAGTAAGCGCTCTTTATGCTCGAAATTAACACTTTTTATGTCTGAAAGAAATGGATGTAAATATTTTGTAGTTAGTTATTCTTAGCTACTTTTGATGTAAGTGGATATGTTATTTCAGTGGCGAATGCAATGGAGCCATTGTGGTTTAAAACGCCCCCAAAATATTTAAGACCATTTTATATTGAATTTAATTAATTTTTTTTTAAATTCAGTTTTTTATATGTACTCTTATTTAGTAATCAAAAACCTTTAAATGAGTCTCTGTACACGCTCTTGCATTATTGACAATTCGAGCCATTTACGGGTACAATAATTCTTGATTTTTCAACAATCTGTTTTGGAGTAGATAATTATTAAAGGCATTATGTTCGTTTTCTGTTTACACATACACGCAATATTTAGTTATTTTTTTTATTAAAAAAATAATTTATTATATGAAAGCTTACTTTTTGCTTTGATCGAAGTAGCTAAAGTTTCATATTCTTTTCTGTGTTCCTCCAAACGTTTTAGAATTTTGCTTTTTTTAATATTTAAATCATACATATTATGATACTTTTGCATTTCTCTGGGTAAAAAGCTTTTTCCACATGTCTGCAAATTGACAGAGTTTAATTAAATTAATATAAAAAAAATATACAAACTTCAATACAAACCTGCGTAACTACCTCCAGGTCCTTCACCTTTTCAATTTTGTTTATCAATATATTTTCACGAATAGATATTACATCCCCACGCGGTAACACTCTTCTCATAAGATTTTTAAAAAGTTCACTTTGATGCGATTTAAAAATTCTTTGCAAATAAAAACAAATTCAATAATTTTGAAGAAAACCTTAATTCACTTGTACTTACGTTTTTAATGCATCTTCGCTCGGCATCGATTCATTATCACACCCTAATTTCACTGCCCATGCTTTAAAATCCTCTAGAAATTCCTTTTGCGACATATTTACATCAAAATTTCTTCAAAAATATAAATGCGGTGTACTACACAATTTTATATTTGCGCAAAAATTTTAAATTCACACCAATTGGTTTAGGTTTGTTCGATTTGGACCAAAAACTGTTCTCAATAGAGATTTGAAAATATGGCCAGTGTTGTAAGTGTACTATACATTTTTTTAAGATTAATTGTTATATTAAAAGCTTGAACTTATTAATTAAAAACTGAAGCATTTTTTTATAAACTTTCAGAATTTAAAATTGTATTTTTTTTATCAATTCAACAATATAAACAATATAAAAATATGCAGTAGTTGTTATTATTTTTTTAAAAATTATACTGTTTATACTGGACTCACACGAGACTTCTGACCACGGTTTTCTGTACCAAAATTTTAAAAGGTACCATTTCTGTAAAAAAAGGTCCAAAAACCTTTTTGTTTTTTCGTTCTGTTTTTTATAGTGTTATAAATGAACAAAATATAAAATAGTGCAAAATTGCATTTATAAAAAAAATTAATTGGAAATATCCACAATAAAGTTGGGTCGTCAAAAATGTACCATTTTTTGAACATGAGTACCAAACGAAAAAAAAAGTCCAGTGCTTTACGAATAAGCACGTCGCACTATAATGGTACTTGTTTATAGTGCTAATTGTGTTTCGAAGGTAAAAACTATACCGCACCTTATCAAACCTTATGGAAAGCGTATGCGCTTAAATTACTTTTTTCCTATCATTCGTGAGTATTGTCATATATTTGAATGAATATATACAATTAGCAGAAGCTGTGTAATAATTTTCTAAATTGTTTCCCATTTTAATGTTCGTTGCTGTTATTAAATTATTTGACATTTCTTTCGCTTGGTCAATTCACAATGATATTGTGCTAATATACTAACAAAAAAAAAGTTTGCAACTTTATTTGTAATTAATAATTATAATAAACGAAAACTTAATAAAAAGTTTACTTAACAATGAGCCAAGGTATTGTAACATAAGATCATATTTATTTTTATACGTAAAAACTGTTAAATTTATAGACGTTGGTGAATCAAGGGAGCCGCACGTACCGGTTAAACATAAGGATTTTCTAATTTCTATTAAAACTGGAGAACCAATGGAGATAAAAGAACGTGATATGGTAAATATAAGTACTTAAACATATTACGCATAGGTATATATTCAATAATGTATTTGAAACAGTATGGCAGGTGTCGACCTGCGAATGATTTTGTGAAGTTAAATAGAATAGGTGAAGGATCCTATGGTATTGTTTGTAAGTATAAACCATTTTTTATTGAATTGAAAAAAAATTATAATCAATAAAACATTAGATCGTGCAAGAGATGCTCGTACAAACGAAATCGTGGCTTTGAAAAAAATGCGAATGGATCAGGAAAAAGATGGATTGCCTGTAAGTGGTCTTAGAGAGATTATGATACTTAAAGCTTGTGATCACAAAAATATTGTTAAATTGAAAGATGTTGCAGTTGGTAGGAGTTTGGAAAGGTATACTTTACTCTAATAAAATTTAAATGAATATCTAAAGGGATTTGTTCTAGCATATTTCTTGTAATGGAATACTGTGAACAAGATTTGGCCTCACTCTTGGAAAATATGTCACAACCATTTTCAGAGTCGGAAGTTAAATGCATAGTACTTCAGTTGTTAAATGGTCTACAATACATGCATTCCCGTTATATTGCACATCGAGATCTCAAGGTTTCCAACTTGTTAATGACTGATAAAGGATGCGTTAAAATTGGTTTGTTTGTTACTTGATTTTTATTTGCCATGTATAATGTAATGTACATTCATTGCAGCTGACTTTGGCCTAGCAAGATATTTTGGAAAACCAGGTGCGCCTATGACACCTCATGTCGTTACTTTGTGGTATCGTTCGCCGGAATTGATATTAGGTTCCGTTACACAAACAACAGCAGTCGATATGTGGGCAGTGGGATGTATATTAGGAGAGCTGCTTTTACACAAACCATTGTTGCCGGGAAAAACGGAAATAGCACAATTAGAACATATAATTGACTTATTGGGTGCGCCTACTGAAGCTATTTGGCCAGATCTTACTAAAATGCCAAGCATGCAAAATTTCACATTTAAGCAGCAGCCGTATAACAATATGAAAACCAAATTTCCGCATTTAACTGCTGCAGGTTTAAGACTGATAAACTACTTGTTTATGTACGATCCTCTCAAGCGCGCTACAGCTGAAGAGTGCTTACAAGCAACATATTTTAGAGAACCTCCATTACGTATGTATAATATATATACATAATGGAAACATTTTAATATATATATACTTTCTTTTTATATCAGCATGTGATCCGAAACTCATGCCCACATTTCCACAACATCGGAACATGCAACATCAAAAACCTACTACTAGTCATCAACAGCAGGCTCCAGAGTTGCCTGCAATATCAGATATTTTGGGTAGCTTATTGAAAAAACGCCGCATGGAGTAGTAAGATATTTACTGTTGTATAGTTTTAATTTTAATGTTTATTTAGTTAGTGATATTGAATAAAATAAATATTTATCATATTTTGCTTTACAAATACGGCCGATCCATTGGTGTTTTCTTAGCTTTCTTGTCTCTTGAACGTGGGAACCAGCGGTGCTTTGTAGTGTGTGTTAATTGCATAAGTTCTTGACGTGCAACTTCGGGGTGTTTGTTTCGAAATGCGCTCATAGCTGTTTGTAAGGAAGCCTCCTTAATAAGTGAAGCCGAATCAAGTTTCTCTGCTTGTGGGATGGGTTTTGTGTACTCGTAAGGAATTTGTACATCGGGATGCCAAGCAACTATGACTTTGCCATCATTTCTTACTGCTACTTTTTCTACAAGGCTTAATCCACCGACTGCATTTTTATTAATTGTTAACTTCGCACAATTTATTGAAAAATTACGAATATTTTGGGAAAATATACGTCCAGCCATCGTGTTATGAAAAATAACTATTGTGAATTTTGAAAACAAAACAGCTGCTGATTGTAGGGTTGCCATAACAAGATTTGTGTTACGAAAATATATTAAATGTATATTCGTGATTATTTAGGGTTGTATTATTTCCAAAAAACAAAAACAGTTTGCAAAATAATTAATTTTAAGTAGTAATAATTAATTTTAATTAAGTAATCAGAATTAATTTTACAGGTTAATAATCCATAAATTATATATAATCTTAATCAGTTTATGCCAGCACTGTAAGTACTTTATTATTAGTGTTGTAATGAGATGTATTGGGAAAAATGAAAGGCTTTAGCTGATCAGTGAAGATGTCTGGCTCCAGGACGTAGATGTGATCGAATATGAAACATAGATTTGTACTTTTGTTGTTATAGCCAGCAGGGATGTGTAAACCAGATAACATTAAAGGAATTACATGACGAATTAATTGAATCAGATATAGGTAGTTAATGCTAATGTGAGAGGAGAGGAGATTATTAGGGAATGAGACTTGATCCCTAGATGGGTGGGATTTAAATTAAAGTCAACCAGAATTAAGACGGAAAAATCTAACCACTAATATGGGGCAGGTGCAAAGTTCGTTTGGAGTAAGGTTTATATGTGCGTTTGGGCAAAAGAACAAATAGCTTCACACTCTGACATCATGGTGGGTACATCTTCAGTTTGGCCACACATTGGGAATTGACTCATTTGTGGGTGACAAGTAATTGCAGAGAAGAACTAACGAATGCATCTTAGAGAGAGAGCTACAAAAAAATTATGCTATTGGGATATCCATCTCTCCATTGATTATATTCTTTTACAAGAAGAATTTTAGATTCTGTACGAAGATGGTTAACATGTGACATGCGATGATAGCCGGTTGCAAAGCTGTGCTTTGACTCATAGAGTTGTGAGGTTCGCACCGGAGCTGCATGGCCTGCACTAAAACACCGTACTTCACCCAGTTTAGGTAGAGTTTCTTTGCTTTACCCATGAATAACTCAGAAGAGATTTCAACACATTATTGCGTGACTTTAACCGACTGCACATCGTCGTGGCATAAATTGATGGGTACAATGGTTGGGATCAGGCCATGTTATCCTATTGAATATTATTATCTAATTATTGGGATGGGAAGGATTAGATAAAGCTTTAGTGGTTATCACAATCTACCATTTTGAGAGTCGTGGAACATAGTGATAATGTTCTTTTTATTTTTACGGTGTTGTTCATCCATCATTTTACGGTTGTAGTCTCAAAAGAGATCATAGAAGAAGGTGTTGCTCTGTATTTCTTTCAGCAGTTCTTATTTTATTGTTTTAACTAAAATAAGAATATAAGAATTATAGTTTAAACAGTTTAAGCACTCATTAGTTCCAAATTGTTTTTATGCTCGGTTTTAATACAAACAGTCTTATTATAAGATATTAGTGTAATTCCATGACATCGAATAAAATATATATCAGACGACAGTTCGATTAGAAAATCACAAAGAATCATTCTTTTGAGCATATATGCTAATGTACTGTATATGAGTATAGCAATATTATTAATATAACTCCAATAAACAATAGTGATAATCAGAAACTAATGGACACATTTCTTTTTTTACTTAAGTACTTTAAATTTTTTTTTTGATATAAAAAGTAAACATTGATTCGTTAGTTTTCGTAAGAATTTTTTATTAAATTGTTTATATTTTATAAAAGCAACATGAAGTCTCTAATATTTATTAAATATTAAGTAAACGTTGTAGAATAATAAAGAGAAGAATATATTTGTCATTAAAAGAATCAAAAACAAATATATAAATATAAATAAATCCCTGACAATTTATTTTACTTATATCAAATAATAATTAATTAGAAATGCATTTATAACTAAGTGAAGAATATATTATCAAATATGAAGAATCTTTAGCTTCGTTTTTGGGAACATATTTGGATAGCTTATGTATGTAATTTAGCTCCTTATGTATGATATCCTGAAATAAAAAAATGTTAATGTCTATGTTTCAACATTAAATCAATAAAATTATTTCGTCATCGTCACTTTTAACCTATATTTTATTTGGTTTATTGCTTTTTAATAGCTGTTTATGTGATTAAAAGGTGAAAAGTGAAAGTAGGTCGACAATACGTTACTTTCACTGCCCACCACCCACTACTTCGTAAATGTATCCATTTAAGAATTTCTTAATCAGATTTGCCCAAAAGCTTACCAATTTACTTCAAACGTTCTTGTCGAATGGTGGAAGCCAAGTAACACGCCAATATAATGCCAAGAATTTGAATGAAAGCGATACCAATGCCCACACCTATCAAAATGACGGCATTCTTGTCAATGCGTTCTTTTAATTTTCCAACACAGCCTTCCTAAATTTTGAAAATAGATTTTAAGCGTAAAAAAGAGAATTCCAAATTGGACAATAATGATAATGGGAAAAATATTGAAATTATGTTTTTACCTGATAATATTTGTCTCTACCTAAAGCTGGTGAATCATTGCAATGCTTAGAAGCTTCTTCAATGTATTGTGGACGACAACAACTGGCCGGTAAAGTCTTGTTTGGGCTTGAAGAACGCCAGTCAGCTGGGTTATCAACACCACAGCACATAAGTTTCTGTTGTATATTATCCCAAGCCATGGTGTCTTCCTTGTTCGAACGTTTAATGGAATCTTGTAGAGAATTTGTTAAAACCATTTCCAAATCCTTTTTGAATACTGCAGCTGCTATACCAACAGCTAATTCTATTATAAATATGACGGCAAGCAATACTGCGTACTTAAAGTGATAATAAAATAAATTTGTTAATTATGGTTTTCTATATATACGCTATTTATATAGAATATATGAATCTTACTGTTAAAAGCAAAGTTGGTGATTCCTTTATTGCTCCAAAGCAACCAAGTGAAGCAATCAGAAATATTATTAGACCCGTTACAATTAACACAATTGGTGGTGCTGTCACTTTTCCCTCCACAAAATGATTGAATTCATTCACATCAGCGAGGACGACGGCACCAGCAATTAGTATGCCTAAGCCGGATATCTAAAAGAAAATTTGCAAAGATTTACTTTAGATCAATGTTTCTGGAGCATTATTAGACTAGACGGTTATGTAGGGATCGCACTTGCGCCCTATGCTTTCATCGATAGTGCCAACGCAATATCATTGTTTTTATTAATAATTTTAATATTCTATGTTTGTGTATAAAATGGGAAGGAACTCTTTCTGTTTCTTTCTGTCTTATCCTAATCTTCTAGAAGCATAGGGCCTCTATTATCCAAGGGCAAAGAACTAATAATTAATTTGTCGGTATCGAATAGGTGGTGTTAGTTGTATATTCGTATGTATTATAATTTGTAAATTAGGCTTGCTTTTTTTAAATGATATTGGTTATTGGAGGTGCTAGAAATATCATAATTTAATAGATTGTCTTACTTATGATTAATTTATACTTAAACCGAAATAACATATCATCAATATATATATGAAACAAGAAGGTATCTAAATATATGTGTACATCATGTAGTTGGAATGAATGTCAACTTTTTCAGGTTCGGTTTTTCTATAGATAAAATTGTATAGAAGATTGTAAATAGGTAGTTGCACTAAACTGAATACATAACTTACTTATTCTAATTTATTGTTACTTATCAGTAGTTATTATCTCCATTACTACCATTCATATGAAGAAAATAAATTCGTAATTTCGTTAATGCAGTTCGGTATGAAGAATAATGATTTAATTACTTGATCTGACGATTTGATAAGAAATATAAATGACCAAAAATGAATGAAGGTCAGCAAATATTTGAACAGCCAAATCATTTTTAGGTAAATTACCAAAAATGCTTGCATGCAATACACAATTTGGTGTTTCTAAAATAATTCAATTTAATTGAAAAAACCATGAATCAGTAAAAGGCCCAAATGTCAATGTGAAGGCGTAAGCTGGGTCGAATAAAAACAACCTTAATGACCCACGTGGGTTAACAACTGAAGACTTGAACATGTTACAAGGTTTTATATTTTGCAAATTTCAAAGATTTTATAAAACGAAGGTAAATACGAAATCAAAATATACTTAGTAAAATTGTAAATAAACTTTTACTTTGCAATTAAAAAAGTGGGTACTTTGGAAAAACGACGGACTGAACAGTATAAGTATGAGTACACCTTAAGGTAGGTAAGTAAACTACTGATATCCTTTACGATAACTGGCAATTTACTGCATAAGAATGTTTCTGTGAGTGTAATTAACGCTGTTCTTTATTATATGTGTTCCTCTATATGTTTATATACCTGATATAAATAAATAAAGTATATGTACATACATAAATAAATTGCGTGCATGATTCGTATCACATGAATGTATATATGAGTATATATATGAAGGTATTTATAAGAGTTACAGTACTCAATGAATGTTTTGCACTTAAGTTAGTCTGTAACTTCACCTCGGTGAACCTTATACACTTCATTGAAGTTAATGTTTGACCTTATGCTATTCTCAAGCACTAAATACTTGGAAATATGTTCCAAGGAAACATGTGACTTCCAAGAAAAGTTTTCTTAGATATTAAAATAACTTATTGAGTAATTATAAATAAATATTTAATTTTTAATTCATTATTAACATTATATTTTTACATTATTAAATCATTTACTAAATAATTTGCTTTTAATTTTAGTTGATTTAATATTTTTTTAAGAGTTAAGGTCGTTGATAACCATAATCTCATTATTGGCCTGTTATTATAATGTTGCTCAAAAGCCTTAATATTTTCAGTTAATGTGTTATTATCTATCAGTATAACTATCTACTAACTCTAAAATCTGCAATAACTTTACGATTAAGATGTAACAAAATCTATTTAATTGCGAATATTTGCTCTATTCATATATGTTTATTCCTTATCTTGATAAATAAAGCATGTGCAGGTATTCCCTCAATTTCTTCATTGAGTTATACGCAAAAACTTATAGGTTATCTTCAGTTTTTGGCAAATTTATTAGTCTTAGGAAAGAAACAAAGAGTGCTACACAATACAGTTCACACTTAGTTTTCTTTTAAAGAATATTAGTTTCAAAAAGTCCAGATTTCTTACTTATAGTCAAGGTGCGTCCTCCAATTTCAGAAAGCGCTGTTATAATAGCTTAGCCAAAAGTTAAGATAGAACTGTTATTCTCTTTTCATAGTTAATTTAAGGTTTTTTTCTAACTAAACTAAATTGTTTCCAATTAGTTTAGTGATCATACAAATTGAAGCCCTTTTACATTATCTATTCGTTAGTTTGCTGAATTTTCCCAAAATCTGTGCTATAGCTGTATTTCTTCTTTTTTTTGACAGTATGGATTGTGATGTCTTTATCAAAGTTACAGTAATTTTATTTTCAGAAGTAATTATTTCAATAAATATTATTGTTTCATATCATTAAGATGGTAGTAATATGACTAATTACTATAACTATTATTCTTCTGCTTGGAGACAATTTATTAATAAATCTAGTTAATTTTGAAATATTCAAATTGTGTGATGTCTTTTGGTTATGATCATAATTAATTTCTTTTTTGACTATATTATGAAAAAGAATAGATAAAAATTAAATGGATCAGTTAATGTATGTCTTGAATTAAATGTTTTTATCTAGACAGTTCAGGGTTCAGGACACAAAATATGTTTATAGAGAAATTAACACTACCTCAAACATAATTTTAATAAAATTGACAAACTAAATTAAAAAGTTTGTATAGAATATATATTAGAAGGCTATGTGCAGCATATTTGAGTTTCGGATAATCTAAAGTACAGATTTTCAGTTATTATTATTTACATAAAAGTTCATTAAATATAATTTCAAATGTTACTTACAGCAAAAACTACATTAAATCCAAAAAGTATGTATTTTATCAAACTCATGCCACAGGAACGCATTTTGAATTTCATCTATTTTTCACGTCGAAGTAGAACAATTTAAAAAATTTAACTCTACGTGGGATCAATAAACTTTACACTAAGCAACACGTTTCGAAGTGTTTATAAAAGCACTTTTATTCTATTAATTTTTAAACACTTCTGAGTTGGAAACTTAAAACTTCAACGAAGCAGTGTGCAAACAGTTCACTGTATTAATTTATTTAAACTCTTTGCTAAATCAAACAATACTGCGAGCAGAGATTGAAGACTATTCAAATTTCAACGTCCGTTCAAAATGGCGGTTCCTTCAGAACTGACCACAATAGCGTGGCGCAGTTTATGAGCAAAGCTAAAACCGTTGGCCAAAACACACATAATTGGGTTGCTTCACTCGATGGGCTTTACTGACATTTATGCGGTGTTTCTGCTATGTACACTAGCACACAACAATGGACGCATGCAGCCCTTGCTCTGTTAGAAATTAGATCGCTGAGGGTTGGAGTCTTTGTAAGTTTTGTTATGGCTCTGCCGAACTGTTGGCTGACTGCCGGCTGCGAGCTGTTAAGAAAAGTAAAAGTGAAATTATATGAAAATTCCGCTGTATTTCTCATTGAGGCTAATGTATGGTATTTAGGCTCATAGGTGTAACATGGGACTGTGGGGTCACTTGAAGCAACACATTAACGAAGTTGAATTTTTTTAGGTTAAGTCGTTTGTGTTGTAGTTTTGATATTTTGAATTCTTCCTTTAATTTTTTCTTATACGTGATTTTGTAAATTTGTGTTGCTTAATTGTGTACAGCGAAATTAATTTCGTTAGCTTACACAATTTGTGGAGCGAAAATGGGTTACAGTGGTGGGTTTTCCGTTGTTGGTACATCTATGCGACCCGAATTGCTTATAATAGAAAAGTAGGTGGCGTAGGTTTTAATATTGACAGGTAATTACTCAAGTAGTTCATGACGCTTTCCTCGAATGTTTTTTTAAGTGTTTCGTAAAAATTTTAACTGCCATTATGGGGTACTACTTTCTGAGTAGTAAGTAATCAAGAAGTCATTGGCCCTTTTAATAAACATTTAATAATTTTTTATATGCCTTCGGTTATTATATTTGTTATTTAGTGAATGGTTTTTCTCAAAATCTTATAAAAATATTACTATGTATTCGTGTTAATTATTAGTGGTTTTATTCATATTCTGCGAACAATAGAATATCATAGGAAAGTTTTGTAGAATTTTATTACAACCTTACTACTTACTAGTACCATTTATTAGTTGTTTTGCATTAGGAAAGTGGCAAATTTTGTGTAAGAATGTGATGTCATGAGAACTTCTAAGGATTTTTGAACTGGTTAGTACGAGCACCTACCTAGTATTCATTAAAAGCTGCTTACAATAAATTGTTGCATTTAAAAATAGCAGAATAAAATGTTATACCTTCAATTCTGAAAATAAATCAACGCCATATCTGATTAACCCTACTTAACCTCTAACCCTCTTAACAACAAATTTCTCTCAGAATGGGTAAAATAGAATTAAAGACAGAATTTTATGTCAGCCGTTGAATTAATTTTTTGGCTTATAGCAAAAATATAAATATAATAGAATATGACTATCTGAAAAAGCAGGAAGTTGTAAGAAATTAATTCTGCATTTACTTGCTTTGATCTCTGATATCTGTTAAAGAGCGATAAGCTCTAAAATAAAAAATTAGTCAAAATTAGTCAAAATTGGAAGCGTTTTATTTTGTCAAAAATAATTTTATTAACTCAAATACTAACGAGTTTTCACATAATCTATTGTCATTCTTTCAGCTAAAACCATTCATTCTTAAGTGTGATTTTTAAAGAACAAATATCAAATTTTCATGCCAACCGGAGAGTGTGGTATAGATTGGTAAAAAATGTATCCAATAAAGCAAAGACAGAACTACAAGTGGAGTCAATAAAAATTTCTTAAACATGATTTTTTTGCCGGGTCACGAAATATGTATGTGTTCTTCATGTTAAGCTAAAACCTTTCCTTCTGTTTATTATATATGGAATCATTAAAATTTCACAATCAACATTATATTTACTGATCACGACAGTTGTATGCGTTCTACCTATATTAGCTAACACAGTCCTTTCAGTCCAACTCCGTTTTTTTTTCTCAATTTCGTGCTTCAACCGTATTAATTGCTAAAGGGAGAAATTCGAATCAATGCTTTAGTGAGGCGGTAATAGCTCATAATGGATGGCACTATTGTCATTCTGCGAAATTTTAGATCTGTGTATTGCTACTGCTTGGAGAGCTTCATCTTGTTTTCATCAAAATATTTTTGATATATTGTTATTGCGTATCATCCAAATTTTTTTTCTATCACTTTTTCTATTTTCAAAAATAGCTCAATTTAGTTGTGGTTTCAATAGCAATTCATTATCCATTAAATTTTTTATAACTTAATTAATGAGAAACTCAAGGATTGATCTTCTTTTTGCACCTTATCCATAATTTCAGTGGTTTTTCTGACAATAGACTGACTAGAGCCACGAACATCTTTTCCGAGATGTTTTACCATAAGCATAATCAGAACTAACCGTTCAATATATCTGTGTGTGTTGTATTACTTATGCATTCGTTATGAGTTGAAGTTGTTTTTAAGTCTTTAATACTTCAATAATTAGCTGAATTATAATTTGGTTTTTAAAAATACTCTAACAAAGCGCAAACACGTGTAAGCTAATCGAGTTCCCATATAAATGAAACTTTTGACAAATGTATAACCAACCTAGATTTTCACTATTTCCTCAGCATATCGGAATATATATATTTTTGTATTCTATATATATAGATTAATTAATTCGAAAATAAAATATTTTTTTATGGTTATTAATATATTTCCGAACAATAATTTGTTTAAACAGCAGTGAGTTATTTTAAGATACTATTTAAATTTTTCAAATATAATAATAGCTAGACTTGGTAAACTTATATGTTTATATAGATTAAAATGACGTACTTTAATACATATACATATATTGTATGATAATGATGTCAAGTGGTGTTTGAAGATAAGGATTCCTTTAAATTTACTTTCATAAAGTATAATTTTTCTTCGTTCTTAACATGTATTGTGAACTAAATTAAGCAGACGGCTTAGCTTAGTTCGGTAAATAGACAATTTAAACCGTAAACTATTAAACTTATGGAAGATTGCTTTAGATAGTTTTTGAACATACATACTTACTATACTATGTGAGGGCTTTAAAGTAATTGGTTAAAGATTCTTCGGTAGAAATAAAAACTTTATATATACGATTTGATATATATAGATGTTCTGATCTACGGTTCGTCATCAGTTAGAAGATAAATAAATGATAATGATTCTAGTATAGTTAAAGTTTAGTGTGAGGCAAGGATAAGTCCCCCAGCCACAAAAGAGTAAAAGTGCGCAATAGCACTAACTCAAATCACTACAACAACATATACGATATTTTAAAACTATATACTACGTATACAATTAATTTATTTTTCTTTTAGGATGTTAGTTCTAAATAAAAGAGATCGGTTCTACATTACTTTTATCTGTACTGAATAGAACTGGAAGTTAAACTTACTTTTGTTTTTGAATAGAAACTCTTGTTATAAACGACTGTATTTGCAACCATATAGTTCTACAATTATATTACTTACACTTAACTAGTGTAGACAGAGATCAGTTATTTTGTGTGGGATAAGGCCCCCAGTCACAAAAGTGTAAAATTGCGCAATAGCACTAACTCAAACATCAACAACAACAACAACTAGATAATACATCACAAATTCACATAGAACATAGAACTAGAATAGAATAGAAAGTGATAGGCTTCTAAGTTCTCAATGAATTGGACCACTGTGATCGCAGTAGATCTACTATGACAAAAACTGATCCCTACCGAATAGGAGACTTTCAGACTTTCAAAATAAGCTACCTACAAAACCTTTTTTTTAGAATCTTTTAATTATTCATTTGTCAAAAAGTAATTTTTAATGTTCTCGGTGAAAGCAGTTGAATCTAAAAATACTAGAAGAACTAAAAATAGAATAAATTAACATTTCATATATAAATATTAGTATATTTTTAGAGCAAATTCAAATTTACGTATATAGGAAATTATAACATATATAAAAGCGGATTTAAATTAATGTTTAAACCAATTTTCATTTGTATTATTTAAGGGTAAATATTTATTTTTTGTCTGTACCGTGACGTAAATGACTTTAAAGCAATTTAGTTATTATGAGGTCACAATTTTTGAAATAAGTTCATGGTGTTCTTTTTTTTTTGATGCAATATATAATTATTTATTTATCATTAATTATTATTTTTCCATACACCTGTAGTATACTAAAAGATTTGAGTTTTCTTTTGTATTACAGAAGGTGCTATTAGAATAGGGTCCTATATTTTAACGTTTAACCTGCGCAGCGTGATTGCAACGAGTGGTGGGTCAAAGACAGATATTCAGCGTAAAACTAAAAAACTATAAGTAAAAAACACAGTGGATCCATGGAGCTAAGAATAAAGTATGGAATACTAAATATAATCGCTATTTAACTCAAATGTGAAGTTTTGATATAATGGAATATATTACAGTAGCTACAAAGAATTTAAACTGGTTTATTAAAAATTTTTGGGTACTACTCAAAGTAATTGTTGTGAAGCAGTAGTTAATAGGAGTTTCATTTTTTCATACACTAAACTCATTACCTGATCCGTAAATCAACATGACATTGTTAGGAGAACTATCGATTCGTATCTACATATAAGGTAGCAGATGAAGGAAGCGGATAGTAGGGATAGTGTGAAGACGAACACCGGCAAATATAGTAAGAAATATATAAATATCGTGGCATAAAAGAATAGTTAATAGGAGTGTCGATTGTTTATACACTGAACTGATCACCCGATCCCTAAACGTACATGATATTTTAAGGAGAACTTTCGATTGCAATCCATAAAGCAGCAGACGAAGAAAATGGATAGTAAACATAGGGTGAAGACAATCGGCAGATATAGTGGGAAACATTAGAATGTTGTGGCATAAAAGAAATGTGAAATAAATATTTTATACACTAAAGATAAGAGTTAAAAATTTTATTTTGTCGCTAAATTTAACTTAAAAAAAAAACAAATAGTAATAACATATGTTAATAACATTGATTTACATTAAATAAATATAACTATAAAATATGATAATATTAATTAAGAACATTACGATATGATAAACTTTTATTAATATATTACGACTAGTTTTTGTTGTTTAAATATTTGCAACTAATACAAATATTATATTTACGCACCACTAAATTAATTTAATTTCTTTAGAGCCAGTTTAAAAATATTCTCCAGCTGCGGCATAGGCTTTAGGACAATTTACTCGTGCTAACACCGTGTATGGTGCTTCCGATTCTGTTTTTAAAGTTTTGAATTTGGAAACAATATTCCACAAATGTATGAGATATGATGTATTTGTTTTTTCTAACATTGAATCCAAATATTTTTCTTCAAAAAAGTTTTGCAATTCCATCCAATTAATGGCATAAAAAGCATTCTTATCATAGACATGAAAACCATTACAGCAATCAGGATTATTTTCAAGTTCCAAAACCTTTCTAGTGCAACAAGCTCTTCTCATAACTTTCGTTATGACACCTGGACCATTATGCGGCCACAAAGTTCCGCTGAAATTTCTTTGAAATTCTAATAACCATTTATGGGCTATTTCATGTCCATAGCCAATCGGTGAAACATTGAGGACAGCGTTATTAATGCTTATATTTGTTTCCAGTCCAACGAAATTTAATGGCATCGATTCCATGCTTCTCAATGTTAAAGTGTCCATATCAAGATAAGTGCCACCGAAATGCCATAACGTTAAAAGACGAAAAAAATCGGAGAGGTGAGCTGTTAAATATCTGTAAATTAGAAATTAGAAAAAAAATTAATTACATTAATATTGTTAATTAATTTATAATAATTTTGTTTACTTAACATTATTATATCGTATCTGTTTTGATTTTGAATTTTTTTTATGTATTGTATTAAATTAAATTGAAGTTCAATTTATTACAATAAAATTTGAAATGCGCTTAATTGATGTCGATTAATTTATAATTAACTGTACCGATAGAATTAGATGATATAAAAACATATACCTAAAATAAGTCAAATATTTTATATTCTTACATTGATTTAAATAGTTCAGCACCATTAAACCACTTTTCCACTGGAGAATCCTTCGTAAAAGCCCATAAATCGGCATTACGCATATGCACATTAGGATAGGAAAGTATAGCGTCCAATATTGGATACTCGGCTTTTTTGTCCATATAGCGTGGGCTAGCATACAATAGAAACACATCATAACTAGGGTTATGCAAGGCAGCTGATTCAATTGCACAAGCCTGTCTGACTGTTAAACCTATGGGTTGTGTCTGCATTTTGGGATTGGGACAACTTGTTTCTAAAAAGAATATTGTACGTCCTGGCGTTGGTTGTCGTTCAGCTAATAGGACATCATCTAAACGTTGTAAGTGTTCTGGAATTTTTGACCCACTCAATTTATCTATGTAGCACTGCAAAATAGCTGGCTTCATCGGATCATAAAATGAATAAATTAACGCGATGGTAAACATAACTAAAACCAGCATGGCAAAGTGGAACTGCTTAAATGATTGCTGAGAATATGCCGATAGAGCTTTTCCTCTTTTAATTGAAATTGCGACCATTTTTAATCTATTACTAAAGCGAACCGATACACTTCAAAGTTGCTAACAGTTTGAGTTTGAATTTATAATTGCAAACCAATTTTAAGTGTCAATACGTCGAATTAAAAATTTCAACTTCGATATTTATTTGAACAGTTGTTTGACGAATTTTGAATGGGCTCGATAGATACAAAAGATCCTTTATAATTTTCCACTCATTGTATATAAATGTGCTGTCTATTCGGAAACATATATTAATACTAATTCATATATGTTTTATAAAATTATTTACATAATACGCATATCTGCACTTTGTTTTATTTTAAGTTACGTTCACCTATGTGTGAAAGATTCGGTTATGGAAAAAAAAGATATACCTAAGATACACATACATCACAGTTAACTGACGCATAAAATATGTGTCTTGTTTTGTGATACAAAATATATTTTCATTAGAATTTTGGAATCCTGTTATTAATAATATTTTATATACAACAGTAATAAATATATATACAACAGTAATTTTCTAGGGTTTAAATAATTGGTTATAGTTAGTAGAATAAGTTATTTTTTTCACGTATTTTAAATTAGCGTTTTAAAAATGGGATTAAAGTCAAAAATGAGATTAGAGAACATGACTTACACAGATTTCCTGAAATGCAAATAAAGCCTCTTTCATACTCTTTTACTTGCTTCAGCGATTGTCAGAAAATAGACCCAGTTTTCTAAACTAACTTTTATTAAACAGAATTATATCTGGAGTTTCCAAGTTACTCCATATGGCTTTCATTGAACAGCATGAGGTACTGTTGTTATTCTATTACTTATAAAAAAAATATAAAAAAAATTTGTCAATAATAATTTTTTCATTAATATGCCTTTTATGTGACAGCCTTGGGTTAGCACAACGGAACTATAGATGATTTAACTGGAGTTTTCGCAGACTTACGATTTTAAATTTTTTTAGCACTATTGTACATTACGTTTCAGTTATTTTGTAACCTTTTCGATGAGATCAAATAGCAATGCGCAATTATCACTCCAAAAAACTGTCGCAATGCAATGTCAGTCGGGAAGTTCAACCTCTTCATAATGTCTACTGAGAAACCCTGGTTTGAAATTTATTTAAACACTGGTGTAATTACTTTAGCAATCATACATATGGACTCTTATAACTTTCTTTTGCTTTAATTGTTCTAACACATAGACCGGAACTGTAGTTGCTGTTAACGACTCATAGTCTCTTTTGTTCTTGGAAATAGTAGGAGGAAGACGGTTGAGTACTGTATTAAATACACAGTTTAAGACATGGCAGATTTCTACAATACTTTTCTTTTAAATTTTTATAAGTAACGTCGCATTCAATAAGTTTTGTAGATAAGTTTTTGTTCAAATTGCTTTTAAGTCTGCATTAATGACTTTTTCCATGAGGAAATTTATTAGTTTTTATTATTTTGTATATCAGACAAAGTTTTTTAAAAATAAAATTTTGAAAAATGAGAAAGGTGTCTTGCAGGGTAATATCCATATTCCATACTCTTTGACCCTGAAAGTTGACTAATTGGCTTGTTGTGTGTGTGTGTGGGTGATTACACTTAACAAATACTGTTTCTTATATACATTATACCATATATTATCTTATGAACTCACTACCTGTATTTATTACATACTTCGCATTTACTATGAAAACCTTTAAAAGGTTTAGTTTTAAGAAGACGAGACAAATATTTCAAACAAATACATAATATGTACTAAATATATGCATTATAATTAAATTTAAAAAAAAATTTCTTTATCTATTTTTTTTATTTGTGTGTAAATATTTAAATATTTGTTCACAAAATAATCATTATTATTTAATTGAAGTATTTTGCGTAGGTCGCTTTAAAATTAGTTTATTTCTGTTTTCTTAACAAATAAATACTTAGAATTACTCGAAATAACTAGTTTATTTGAACGTAAATTATTGTGTGATCCCAGAAGTTTCAGCTGTTAATATCTGAAACACATTTAAACGAAATATGTAGGTACGAATGTAAATAGTTACGTTTGGTCTTCGACTCTTTTATTTAGAAGCTGTTAAACTTATTTTAAGCAGTTATGATAAAACTTGAACCGATTACGATACTAATTCAGTTATCAAAGTAGTAGTCTTATTAGAATCACAATATAAGATATATCTTCCAGTTAAGTGTAACCTAATATAGTAGTAAACTTTTTTGCTAAGAGCTAAAGAAGAACAAATAGGGTATTTGGTAGGGTATTTCTCCTTCTTTCAAGATGTTCCACTTTTCCACTAATAAGTAGTAATTATTTATAAGCTATAAGTAATAAAATATTAATATAAGTGAAATAAAATAAATTATGAATAATAATAATCTAAGTAATTCTCTGATTAGTATAGAAATCTCATAGATTTTAATTTAATTAATTTAATATTTTTTTGAAATATTTGAATAGCTAATTAAAACTTTAACATTGTATTTAAAAATGTTACGTTTCAGAATAAAATTTCATTTCTAAAAATTGTTGTTTTTGTTTTCATGGTGTAATGGATTGTTATAGAAAAATTTGCTACTGACCTAACATATTTATAAAAAAGTCAAAGCACTTTGTATTACAATTCAAGAATTCGTTAGAAGTGACTTAAATATTTTCTACATTTGTGGAAGAGAAAAGTCTTACAGTCATGCAATGCACATTAACTTTATTTCTTAAACAGAAAAATCAATATTTACAAGAAATAAATTAAACCAAATTGCGATGTTTTCTAAAGAAAAAACCTAATAACAGTTGAAATAGAGACATTTGATATTTGCAATAGAAGCAAATACATATTTAAAAACTTACTTTAATATATTGACAAGTATATTCTATATATATGTATATCCCATACAAAGATGTGTAGGAACCTACGCAGAGAAACTGCGCATCCCCCATAATTCTCAGTTGTGGAAACCCGCAGGAAAAAGAAACCATAATACATTTTCTCTGTGAATGTCCGGTTTTGGCGTCTAGAAGATATAGGTGCTTTGTTAGTTTATTAGATTGTTCATCGGTGAATGTCGGGATGGATTAAGTCTTTACCATAGTAGAGAAGACTATGGCTCTTGCGGGGAAGTGGTAGTAAAACTGCGAAAAATCACTGATAGAGGTATATGGAAGTTATATAATGGCCTGCCACTGCAACCAACCAATCATATACTATACTTTGAACGAAGACAGTAAATCAAAAGTTATACACAAATTCATTGTATTTTTTATACTATTTAGAAAAATAGGTATGAAAGCAGATTACTACTTACAAAGACAATATACTAGTAGATATTCCAAATTGGGCTGCGCAAGATATAACTAATACTACTGTCTTTGCAGCCTGTACTCTTACTAGATTCGTTTATCAATTTTTTAATAGGGAAAAATAAATTTATAAAAAAGATTGTGGAAAAAAGAGTTATTCACAATATATTAGCAAGCTAAACGCCAATTTTAATAAAAGAATATTTTTGAAAACTCATTGAAAAATAACCAGATCAGGTAACGTGATAAATTTTCAAAAGAAATATTCTTCTCAAAAAAAATATAAGTTTTATATCACAATAAGTCTTATATAAAAATATTTTTTAGGACTTTGATATCTTTGTTACGCTTTGATATCTCATTGCTAAGAACATGAAGCTGACATATAACCCAATAATTCGACCGTCACTTCTGTATGAGTGTGTAAAGTTCAGCAAGGCCACAAACACTACTATTCACCAGCTAGAAATTTCACAAAGCCAATGACATTCTCAGGGACCTCAAGATTGATCTAAACAAAAAATACATAAAATAAAAAAAATATTTTTGAAAATCTTTATATAGACTTTCAATCGCAAAAACTGTTGTATACGATATATAAGAATCAAGATTTTCAAATTCAAATTTCAAAAAATGTAATAATGTGTTACAAAGGAAATTAATCAAAACCTATAAGATCTTTCGAAGTAACAATCAATTTCAGTATTTTGTTTATACTGAAAAATTTAAATTCAGCTCAAAACTCGTCAAAACTTTATAAAAAAAAATTAAATTTTTGCATATGTTTTTTTTTATTTTTATGAATAAAAATATATATTATATATATTTCCATATATACATTCTTTATATATACGAAAATGTTGTCGCTCAAAATTTATAAACGTCATTTAAACAAACATTTTTGAATTTTGTTAATTACATATAACAATTGTAATAACTTTTATTTATTTAATTTATTCCAATAACAATTTTAATAAATATTGACTAAATTAAACGAGAAAGCATGGTTGCAACTATTATTGAAAGTAATGATACTGATAGTCCAATGGCATTGGCTCCTCCATCTCGACATGGCCATTCATCCATATCTGAACTGAAATTTTTTTTTTATACACAAAGTTTAGTATTTATTAAAAAAATTAGAAATTTATAATATAACACAGAACACAGAACACATAAAACTCTTAGTATAGAGATTAGAAAATTATGGGGTATAATAATGGATAAGGATACGACGCAAAGCTCGCAGATAGTATAGGATAGACGACCTGGTCATGGGGTTGTTCATGTGGTACAAAGAAAAGTGGCTTATTTTTTGATGATGATGATTTTAGTGAACGTTGATATGCACTGCAAATATAAAAGTAGTCGATTTCTAAGACTTTTTCACTTTTTATTCGATTATTTGATTATCATTGAAGTCAATGCCTAAAATCTCTATTAAAGCAATTTTTTTTTGTTAATTTCAAAGCGATACAAGCGTTTTTATTTACTATTGTAACAGATTTTTTTATAACAGTTTTAAACTCATGTTTTAGTTAATGCCTATTTTCCCACTGCTATGAAACTGCTATGAAATTGATTAACAGACTTTTAATTTACCATAGATTTGTGCCTATAAGTGCACAGTGTTGATTATTATGTTAATTGGTAATTTTTATATTTAAGTTAAAAAAAATATACGTGTTAAGTTCTAATTTGATTTTAACATTACAATGCAAAGAAAATTCTATTTGAATTCTAATTTCTTTATCTTTTGGGGATGTGTTAATGGTTTGTTTTAAAGTATTTTCATTACAATATTTTAAGCCGAAACTGTCACATTTTAAAACCTCCTATAGGTTATTGTTATCTATTCATTTTTGAAGAAATTATTTTGACTTTTGTTTAAATTGCATCAACAAAATGCAGTGAAATAAATAAAAAATCTAATAGCTAAAAGTATAGCTTACACCCATCTTAATGTATCTATTTTGAAAATAATAACGTGTAAAAGTGAAAAAGAAAAATAATGATTTTGTATACTTTTGCTATCTTCAATAATGAGGCTAGACAACTCATTTACCTCTAAACAAAGCCGACATTCCGTCTGCCCAAACACAGATCCAGGATGTGGTGACCTATCTGATTATAGACTGACAGAGACAGTTCTATTCTACTGAGCAGTGATGGCTTGTCGAAGTTGTAAGGATATTTGTAAACGATTAAAATGATTTCGTGATTTTGATTTAGAACATATCCCAATAATAATCTAAATCAGCTATAGAGTGGATAAAAGATACGCTTATTTATCATATCGCTTATTTATTTTGCTATTATATCTTGATTGTAGGTGGAAGATGTGATATGTGTGGTATAACATGTGGTCTGCCTTTTAAAAGTATTTCATTTATACACAAAACCTTTTAGATTAAAGATTTATTTAGTTGTTAGAAATGTTCGTATGATTTATTAATCACAAATGTAAGGCTCGAAAAAGGAAACATCATGTTTTCTAGTTTGAAGCTATCTGTTATAGCTTCCTCAAACAAGTATATTACAGAAACAGTATGAGATCTTGATGTATCAGTTAAAATTTGCTGTTAGATTAGAACTGTTGGATTGTCAGTTGGGAGTTATTGAATTAGAACTACTACTGCTCTGTTTGGAGATATGCCAATAGTTTCCGCTGCTATGAAACTGATAAATCTTCTGATGTTATCTAACAACTTTAGATTATTAATTTTTTACAAAATTGACTGTTACGTAGCTTTAGAGAAGCATTGGTTCCTCAACAGTCACATAAATCTACAGGGTTATACACGTGGGCTTAATTATTAAAAAGGGGTGACAAAAATGTGTTTACATAATTTACATATTTTCATTTGAGAACGGCAACAAAATATATACAAAATATGACGCCAACTTTATCTAGAACACAGGCTTTGAATACATACAATTACAACAACTCTTATTAATAATATAATAATAAGTCCTAAGACATTTATGATTACTTAATAAAATAAAGTAATTGACTGCAAAAACAAATAAATCTGAAAGAATCCATGAAATTACATACAATAATTGATAAATAAGAATAATTTATAATAAGTATATATTTTTTCAACGAATAAAACAATTCTGGATCTTTTAATAGACTTTTTACCTATTCTTTAATTCACTAAAGTTAAAATAATTCTTCGTTAATATTTAATTTGCATTGAAAATTTATTTTATAATGGGTTCTTCACTTCAGTATTTTCTCAGAATATATGAAAGAATTTCTCATTAATTGTATGTTTATTCTTTAAATATTTATAAGTTATTATTTTTAAGATTCCTACTGAGGTTACTAAATTGATTTCAATTTAATAAAAGTTGTAACTTGGTCTCAGTACAAATTTGTATCACTATTTTTAAAGTTATAGTAAATATCTTTTTGTATCTAATAAGTTAAAACTAAAGCTTATTATTTATTGTTATAAATGGCATTCATCTTATTAAATAAATGGTATTTAATAAGATAATTCGACAAACCTTTGTATCAGACCTAATTGAATTGTGTTTAAAATAAAGTTAAGCAGAACAAAAACATTTATGTTTCGTTTATAATAATAAATCGAAATGCCCAACTTTTACAGGTACTGCAAACAATCGTGACATTTCGATTTATTATAATAAATCTACGCTAACATCATCGTTCTCATTCGCTTTTCAGAATTAGCTCTTATTCGCCATTTTAATCTGAATATACTATTAATCTATTAAATTTAATTATTTTGTGAATCTACAAAAAATATTATTAAAAGTGTTTTTATCGACACCAGGAACAAATGACACCACTACTTTACCATATTCTTACACCATATTCTTACACAATCCACAGTGTTCTGGACTTTCTGCTATTGATGTGCTCACTACTTCTAAACTTTAATGTTCAGCACATAGTCCTATATAAAAGTAATTAATTGTTAATTTTTCCAAGTTAATGTCAAATGAAACCAAACAGGAACAAATATTTACATATATACAGTGTTATGAATGGGATTGAAATAAATGAAATGGCCAAAACAAATAATGTTAATAATAAATGTAATCAATAAAAAAAATTAAGTACCTACCGTCTACAAAACGAAGTTTATGCATTAAATACGTAAGTATGTATGATTAAATTAGCATTATGTTTAGAAATGTATGTATATATATACTATATATACAATGTAATAATTACTCACAAAATACACAAAAATAAAACCAGCAGCGAACAAAACATTTTTATTGCCCACAATATTGTATGTACAAAATTATGTATTTATTCACTAAATATATTCGATTTTTCAAATCATTTAACCAAATCCATTCATATACATATTATTTTGTTATATAAATCCCGCTGTATTTGTTATCTTTAAGTATTTCCCCAACAGCAAAAATAAAAACGTAACCTATATTAGTTACGTTGAAAATAGCAATGACAACAACAACAAAAACAATACATATAATTTGTTAATAATTATTCACAAGAGAGAAAAGAAACAATATTTACTTAATACCAATGATGCCACAAGCAACACGGGAGCCAGCATTGCCAGTCTTCTTTGAATCGGGATGATTTGTTTTACCCAAATCGTCGGCATCAGAATGTATGACGATACCACGTCCAATAACGGCACGTTTACCGGATAAGCTTATAACATGATCAGTCAACATTGTATCAACAACGCCGTATTCATTAGCTTCAATATTGCCCAAATCACCAACGTGACGCACCTCGTCATTTGGAGCAGCATGGTCCACCTGTAATTCAATTAAAAATATAATATAAAAACTCTCAAATTTAATGTATTGTCAATATAATATATATACTGAATATATATGAAATATGTACAAATTTAAATTTTTTCTTAATAGAAACTATTTTTTAGTAGAATAACCTAATATATTTTTTTAAACAGTATTCAATTATCAATTTTAGATCGCGAGTTCGAGTAAATTGATGGTCAATTGTGGGAAATAGTAAATTATGTCGGTGTGGCAGCGAATGTTGGTATTTACCAGTATTTCGACTAGGGTAAATTAGATAAAAACTAGATAAATTAGGTGTTACCATCGTGAAAATTTTATAACATGTTTAATAAATAAATAAATAAATAAATTTGAAAACTTTTAATCAAAAATAATAAATAAATGCAATAAATAAATAAATATTTATATGAGTGCAGTGCAAAAAATACCTAGAAAATTTCAATTTACCTTTCTTCAATTTATTCGCACACGTCCTTAATTAATTGTATTAAGTTAATAATAAATGTTAATATTACGATAAATTTCTCAAATTAGAGTTTCGAATATTATTTGAGCTATTTTAAGCTCATATTTATTTTGATTTGCGAGCACAGGTTCGAATATGCTTGAACATCTGATGGTGTTCGATTACTTACTACTATTCGTTTTTACACAAAAGAAATCAAAAACAAAATAGAAATTTGTTCTATTTCTGTTCATGTAGCGCCTAGAGATTCGAACATTTATTGTTTGATCTAAATGTTCGAATTTCGAGTGAGAATTAAGTAACTTGACCATAGTAATGTTTAAACATTTTGATTCATTTATTAAATATCAGTAAATTATATGAAGTGGCCATGAAAAATATTTGCTTAATTCTTATCTTATCATTCACATCCTTTCGAAGAAATGAAAAGTTATCAGGAGAATTGTTGGATATATATATATGATTAAAAACGGAACAGTGCCGAATAAGAGGAAACGCTAAGATATCTTCCCATACTGGCTTAAGAGTTGAAATAAATTTTTAGTGTATCAGAAGAGCTAATGATCAGGAATACAAATACTGGTATCAGTAATACATAAATTGTGCTTTGTAAATAAAACTGGAAAACAGTGGTGGAGAGTTCCCAGTGCAATGAGTATTTGCAAATCTTTACCATTATATATGATGCTTATATTAATGAAACCTTTTGACAATTATGTACGCCTGCATATTCGATTTAATCTTATATAACACTTAAATTCTTACATTTTCAGAAATAAGCAAAGCTGTTAATTAAATTTAAGTCATTTATATCGCAAAAACAAACAAAAAATTAATAATTATATAAATTTAAAATACTTTAAACAAATATACATTTATCAAATATACAAAATGTTTATCAATTTTTTTTTTAATTAAAAACAGATTTTAAGTTCATTGTACTGATAAGCTGACGCTATAAAAATGCCAAAGAATCAAAATATATATGTATATGTATACGATATGTATTCAAAAATATATTTATTTTTATTTAAAAAAATTGTTGTTTTAAAAAGTTGTTTAAAAAGACAACTTTGTGTAATTAATTTTTAACTTGTAAGAGATTTTTCGGTTTTTAAATTAATCGTAAGGACGTCATTATTTATTAATGTTATTCGATTTGAGAATGCCTAGAAACACCGAATATAGTACCGCAGAACGCTTACAGCTTAAATAGATCCCATCTCAAAAACCATTAAAAATATGATATGTGATACATGATTGTAAAAATGTTAATGCGTATAACTATAATCTGAGCAAAGCCTGCTATGCGTTCCATCAAAAGTAAAATTTAATTCGTTCCATCACGCTGAACCAATATCAGTCTTTATAAGTTATGGGTAAGATAATACATTCGTCACAAGCTTTATATATCCAGTTATAAGTATTTATGCCGTATATGAAATATCTATTAAACAATGGTATCTAAAAAAAGTATCTACTTAGTAAACTTGATACGAATTTATGGAAAGTAAATAAAAAGAAAGTAGTCGAAGAAAATATTTAGACTTTGAAAAATGTTTCTTGAAAGTAACTCTAAAGTTTGTGACAGACATGTCCGTCATTGCATTACTTGGATGCGATCTATTCACACAAAATCGGCAATTTGGATCTTGGGAAAAGTTTAATAAAAAGATAAATAACCATAGTTATATAGTAATAAGAAGGAAAGCATATGGCATAACAAATACAAAATATACTGTATTATATTTGTAGAGGTTATCTTAAAGCTGAGCATCATATTAAGTTTTTCAAGTTAGGAATAGGCATTTCGTATCAATAATTTAGTTTATATTCATTTTGTTAAACTTTTCCTGTCATCTGCTTTAAGGTCCCAGCGGGTTACCACACAACAACAATAAATTTTATAATTTACAATGGAAATGGATAATAATTATTATTATTATTTATTACTTTCCAAATCATGTACTAGTGCAGAGACTAGTGCCGCGGTGTATGATACGGAGACAATTTACATTATTCTAAATCTTATGAATTAGTGAAAAGACTAGTTTCGAGGTGTATCGTAAGGGGATAATTGACACCGGTAATGACAACTCAATGTAAAATTCTTCAGTTGAGCCTACGTAAAGTGGATTATAAAGCCTGGTGAATAGAGAATTTACTAATTCAGAACGAATCGCAGGCACTGCTGGGAATTAAGAAGTAATTGAAGATGTGCTGCAGTATGAAGATGTGTATTTTTGGTTTATGTTCTTCCTAAAAGCGATGATATAAGTAAGATCAATTACATTTTCATCAGTAAAATAATATAATTTTTATGTTTTCTATATGCATGTTTACATGAGCTTAATTGATCATATACTACGAGTATTATGTAGCACATATGAAAAAAAGAAGAAATTTAACATAGAAGTTCATCTTTGCATTTATAATTTAAGTACTAACAAAAAATTTAAGTATTTTAAACACTTGTATCAAAATATAGATATTTATAGAGTATATGAAGCAAATTATTTTGTTCTTATTGTTTGTAATAATCACTTTAATATATCCAAAACCTTACCTTTTCTGGATTATAATGTCCACCGGTGCTTAAGCAGCCATTAGTCAAATCGCCTTTCTCATGCACATGAAATCCGTGTTTACCAGGTGTGAGTCCAGTGACATAAATACGAATGTAAACATTTTCACCGCAAGCATTTTGTGTGAATGTAATGTTTCCCTTTACTTGGGAAACACCTGCTGGATCATCAAGATACGCTATAGCTTGTATAGGTGCGATTTTCTAAAAATCAAATAATTATTTATAATTAATTTACACTTTATTATTCAGATTTGAAGTATTTTTAAAAGTGCTTACCTCGGCGCGTACAGCCACTACACATAAGGCCAAGGCTGCCACAATTACATGATTGGAGAACATTTTATTCATTAACTAATTATATTTGTGCCTAAAATTATGTATTAAAAAAAACAAATTAAATATAATTTTTATTCAAAGGAATAGTGAATACCAATAAATTAACTATAATTTCGTTTAACACAAATAATATTGTTGACGCATTCCTATTAAATTAAATTGCTCAATGAAAATGAGTATTTTTTAAATAAAATATCAACTATTTCAAAGTTTATTTAAATAAAAATGAAAGCACTTTAGACAAACAACTTTTCCTATCCACAGTTCCCCACAAAGTGATAGTCAGTCGTCAGATGCCATATAATAGCCTATGATGATGATTTACATTACATGTGATTACATATAGAATTTGTAAAAATTAATTTTAATTTAATATTAAAGTGTTTAAAATGTATATAAAAAAATACATATTTGACGCAAATTCCGAACATGAAATTTATTGGTGTTCATACTTCCATATACGATATATTCAAACATATATTTTGTTAACCCCACCCCTGTAGCAATTTTAGTTTATTCAATTGAAACTTTGTATTGCGGTTGAATTTAACTAAATTTGTAGGTCAGTCTGCAGTAAATGATATAACAATTTATGACTATACAGGGTCAATAGAACGCTTATGAAAACTTATAATATATAATATTTAAGTATATTATTAAATCAAATTCATAGGTAATATATACGATATATGTGCGTTATGAAAACAATCATTGTTGTAAACAAAAATTATTTATCTAGGCTAGTGTCCACAGTATTAATAATGCAAATATACTAGATAATTGTTTGCTTAATACCTTTTTTTGGATCGTCTATGTGCAGCGAAACGATTGCTAGATTCGTAAGAGTAGAAACAGGACTGTACCCAATAAAAATAAATGCTGTAGTGTAGTGAAATCCATAGAGAAGCAGACATAGAAATCTAATGTGACAAATACGCCAATCAGTGATACATGAATTATGTTTCTAAAATCCGTGTGAAAAAAAGAGCGGTAGGTCGCTCCTGAACACGGTAGTTTGATGAGTTGAGAGTTGATTAAAAACTATGTAGTACCAATACCTGGGAAATAGTTGCGAGCAACCATATAGAAACAGTTGCGAACAGAGTATTTCAAGGACGGGAAATATATGTTGTAGTATTAATAATAAAGAGGATTATTGGGTTAAATTACAAGGTAACAGTGTTTTAGGCTTTTAGTGTAGCAGGGTACTGTGATTAAAATATATGTTTTCTGCTAGTGATTGATTTTACTCAATCTTACGATTGAAGTTTTTTAAGTGGCGAATATAGAATCTCTTAGATAAACAACTAAAAAGAATTTAATTACAGGTCTTATCTGTTCTCCAGCAGAGCCGATATGCTGTCTTTATAGACAAACTTAACGATATGGTTACCTAACACAGGCTATAGTGAATCCATTTACAAATTGCTAAAACCCTATATTTTATTCAGAGAAAGATTAATAAACTTAGAACAGTTTTTGTTTTTTGATATTTATAAATTTCTCAATTTAACTTCAATTAATATTCTCATTCCGATATTTTACTAGATGCTGGGTTTTACTTTTATAGGTTTTACTAAAGTTTAAAACTATACATAACTGAACTAGATTTGCTATAATAACATTTTTAATGTGTGGCTTTATTACTTTAGTAAAGGAAGTCGAACTGTTTTAATACAATGTGGACATCTTCGACACCTTGTAAATTCTCCCATTTTTTTATGTACCTAAATTATATGAATATTTTACTATACATATTTATGATATTCTTTTCGTAGCACAGTTTGTTTTAAATGAACTGATTATTCTTTTTTATTTAAATTATTGTATTATCCCAAATGTAAACATCTGTTAAAGATGTGTTTATGTATGTTTAGGTGTGTGTATGTAAAAAGGTTGTTTTTATTGGAATTTCGCGATTAAACACTAAATGCTTTATAAATACAAAAAGTTTATTTTAAAACAATTAGTAATTATGTAAATATCGGTCAGAGAAATAAAGGAATACGTAGTGGTTATTGATTTATATGTATTATATACCATTTTGGATAACAAAAGGTGTGGAACAAATTTCCTTAAACATTTTCTGAAGTGTGTCTTTATAAAATTGGGATTTTATTGGTCAGCATAATTTAAAAACTAAGTTAATAAAACATATGACTAATATTAATATATATATATTAACTATTTTTAGTTTATAAAAAAAATTATATTCATTGTAAATATTGTAGTTTTAAGTAGTGATAAGAGCCGAATACTATCAATGTCAAAAGTATATTGTAATAATTTTTAACATTTTAAATTTATTAATAATATTAAACAAAAGTTTCATGTTCGTCTTATCTTTTTTTCAAGATAAATATGTCTAAAATGATTAAAATTAAATATTATTCTTAATGTTTATGAGTTTTAGCACGTTTTTTTATAAAGTAGATTAGCAAATACTAAGATTTGAAATGAAATATGTCGATAAATATTTTCAACGAAAGTATAAGGATGATGACGAAGGTATAAAAGAAGTGTGAGAATAGATAGGAATACATACCTTATTTTGTTTATATTAAAATCTGACAATTGCTTAACACTATAGATATAATAGTTTATAGTTATCATTATTAAAAAATACAGCAAAATAATTGCTTACCAATTCGTAAATAATTATAAAAAGCCACTTTACATTTAACTCAATAAGTTTACCTTAACTGTTCCTTAATGCTGAAAAAGGTCTCTTAAGTTATGATGTTGGTCATGTAAGATGTAAGATGGCTATGTTTCACTCAAATACTACCAACATTAAAATCACATTGTATTACAGTTCAAAATGAAAATAGCTTTCCTTTTCATAAGTAAGTGATACATATTAGAATAAACAAATTAGCATTTGAAAGAAGCAATGACCATAAAAGATCGAAGAGCAGAAAAGTAAAGTGGATGTATACTATACACACACTTAGTAAAGAAAAGGATTTCAAATGCATATAGAGGAATCTATAACTTATACTGGAAATCCAAAAACAATAAACAATAAATAAAAAGACTTTTAAATCTTATGCTTGGGAAATCTGTTTGGTAGTATGTTATGTTTAGTATGCTATAAAATTTAAGATAAATTTCCTGAGAAATTGCATATTTTGTTGTCATTAAAAAAACTTGTAGATTTTACTAATAAAAACTGCACACACCACCTAGTATCAACAACCTCGCAATTTTTACATTGATTACACATCACTTTTTGGCTATACTCATTGTTGCTTCTTTTCACATAAAAATTTGCATCTATATTTTGAATCTTTATCTCAAAAACTAAGCTATATTGATACATAGCATAGTAAAAAATATTGTTGAAAATGTGTCTTCACTTATAGATGTCAAAGAGGCGTGCCCGGAAATCGGAATCGTGCCCAAAGAACAAATTAATATTAATGTAAATTATGTGCCATAGAACAAATAAAGGTATACTATATACAATCTTTTCATATTTATATTGCATAGTATAATACCTATGTATATTTGTAATAATATTGTAATTAAACAATTAATTTTCTCAGAGTTATAATACAATTGATACAGCAATTAAATTCTAATTTTGTACTTAGTACGCCGCGACGTACTATAGTATATAGTATAGTTTAAATTTTTCATGGTATGAAAGTTGCCATGAAACTCTAGACTTTGCAGGTGGTTTTCTTATACATACAAATTTACAATTAAGTTTAAAGTGTAATTTAATATATACAAAGAGATATTAGATTAAGCTGAAATATTGGAAGTTCAAGAAATAAAATTATAATATCTATTTAGAATAAAGCGGTTATTGTCACTACGCAGTAACTTATACGACGACAATAATTTATTCTAAGAAATTAAAAGAAATCTATTTAAACTCATTTTATTAGTCTTAAATTCAAAGAAATATTTTAAATATTGAGTATATTGGCCAATATGTGTAATAACTGATCTATTTTAGTTTTTTGTATAACTAGATACGAAATATTTTATTCCAATAAGACAATAATCGACAAAAAATAAATAGTAATATTCGAAATATTTCATTGTTATTAAGGCCTAGAACGTAGAGGTGGTACATAATATACCACAACTCTGTTTTGATCTTACACACCCCTTACACCAACCGCACCCGACACTTTTACCACAACCAATTTGGTTTATTAAATTTAAACTCTTTTTAAATAGTTTTGTCTGTACTGGATTACTAGAATGAAACTGATGGGCTACATCACTTCTTCCTGGATTGATGGTTGAAATTTTTTCACACTGTTTTCTTGAGAGATAATTTTAGTTTGTTGAAGTCTTACACGGAGGATTTAAATAAAAAAAAAGTTGCAAATTGAAATGATGGAAATTATTACGAATTGAATGTATATTAGATATTTTAGAGGATCATAAAAATTAATAAAAAACGCAACATTGGGATAATTTAATCATCTAAAGGCATATAATTAGATTAAGTCTTCCGATCAGGCAGGAGTATAGAATTTTTAAAAAGTATTTAATATAAAATTTATAAATATAAATACTTTATAGTATCACAGATATAATAAAAAAAATAGACTCGTATTATCCTCCCGATCAGGCGGAAATGGAGAGTTTTTAAACCTTTTTTTTCTTGAAGAAATTTATTACTAATTTCAATTCATTGATTTCAGAGTACTGGAGAAATTTGAAAAAGCGTGTTTGAAATGAAAGTGTGGCACTGAAATTTAGTTTACATAGTACTATGTTCTATATAAAACTATATATAAAAGTGATGTACCTTGAATAAAAAGCAATCTATTTTACTAATTATAAAGTTGTATATATATATGTTGCTTCATTTTTAAATATATACATATTTTATTTTTTTTAAATGTGTTCATATTAAATATGTATACTGTAGTAATGCATATTCCACAATATCAAAATTGCAACAACATTTTTTGAAATATCCTAAATATTTTAAGATTGTGTTTGCGCAGAAATTCAAGCATTAATTATATAAAAGTATTCAAAAGTTAACAAATATATTTAATGTCTAAAATAATAAAAAAAAAACTCTTGTTATACAATAAATACTGATTTCTAAAGCAATTTCGGCGCAATTCAAACCCGTTTCTTCCTTTCAGCCTTCAAGGCGTTCCTCTTTTCAAAAACAATACCTATGAGTATCAAAATTTATAAAACGCCTGTTGACGAAGAGCACTTGGAGCTGTTAAATATGTGGATGGGTATATAATTTTTTGTTCGTATGAGCCGTTACAATACACTGTATATAATATTTATTAAATTTACTTGCATGTTTTTATATCGTGCATATATACGTGTAAGCGATTTTCAAGTACATCTCAACCACAAAAAATGAAAAGTTAAGTAATTTTTTAAAACGTAAACAGAAACCAGTTCAGCTACATTCTATTAAAAATGTCCAAAATATAAAAGATTCTTGCTAAAACCACAAATGTATGATGTTTTCAATTATAAATCAATGCATTTTATTAAAAAGACAAATAAACAAATAATTAAACACTTTGTTACCTACACTGTTTGATTAAGTTATATTTAATTCTTTTTTTTGGATATATTAATTTGCACAATTTTTATACGATTTCCCGAAATGAACTGAACTGTTCGAATGCCGAAGTTGAACTGATTTTTAATGGGTCCCGCCAGTGAGCAGATCACCTTAAGCTTTTTAATTTCAAGCGATCGAATGCAGTCTCAGCTCACCTGAAAGTTACTTGTCACTCGTGCCGATAGCGCGCCCATGAATTTCGGTTTCTGAGGCACTGAGTGGGAAGAGGGACATTGCCATATTATTAAATATACTCTTAACTGCAGTCAGAAATTGTTAAAATACATTTTTATAAATACGTTTTGTTTATATCTAGAGAATTTACCAGCGATAAAGAGCAGCAATACATGTAAGACTAACTCTTGGCCATTCACTTTGTGAGGTGTATTCTCCAGGTGTAAATTCTGAAATTTATCTTTCATCAATGGATTAATCTAATCAAAAATATTTTTTATTTTTTTCACTTAAAATTTCTGATACGCATCTGTGCGTAAATATATAAATTTTTCATTAAACAAATATTTTTAGTACGTTTTTATGTAATTTTTTATCATCTTCATTTGTTTTGAATAGAGCACTCATTACTTAATTATTTTGCCATATATTTTTGGTCTCCACAAACGTGTGTTCACACTTAAGAGAAGAAGATCACGTCGCAATTTCATAAAGATACTATGTTTCGATAGAAAAAATTACATTGTTTTAATTTCAAGTTGGTGTTCATACTTAAGTACGTGTTTTAAAATTTTCGAAGACTTTTCAAACTTATCAAAAAACCAAAAAGTATATTTTCCTTAAGAAATAAGACATTTATATATTTATATTATTTATATATTTATATTTTAATTATATAAATAATACTAAGTACAGCCTATAGCCTATCCAAATAAGTATTTTCATATTGGTTTGAACAGGATTTGAAATTTAAATGAAAAATTTAATTAGAAAAGATATATTTCAATGTTATGTTTGATTCGTACTTTGATATTTTAAGTTAATGCTTACCTGAGGATTAATTCTTAAAAGAAACAAACAGAAATCGCGACCTTAACCATACAACGCAAATTTTTATTTTTCAGTTAGGATAGCATTCATTTTGATTGAGGCCTTATAAAGACGAATGAAAATGTTTTTAACACCCTATATATGATTAAGTTAATCTTTTATAATGCTTCTGCACAAAAAGATGCACAAATGATCAAATGCAATAGTATTGAAATTAAAGCTATATTGTTCATCACGATCTAAGTGATTTGTACATAGAACAGATTTGGCTTACTTAGACCTTAAAAGAGATCCCACATTATACTAATACTAGTTTACTACTATACTTATAATTTAAATTATATTTTACTGCTTAACTAATACTAGTTTATTCATTTTGTTAATAATAAGAATCTTGAAATTGTTTAATCATAATTACAGTAAAATTGTGCATATGTTTATGGACAATGTATCTAACAGATGCTATTAAAAAAAATCAACTACAGATTTGAACTCTATATGTGGGTAATTTTCTTAGAATCAACACACAGTAAATTATAGAATAAAAAGAAACCTAGTCAATTTTTTTTCATAAACCATGGATAGGTATTGGATATTTTTAGCTGAACGTTTGTGTCTCTCAATAACAGTTGAAAGGTATAATAATTTTAAAAGCGATTAATTTATTTCTAATGAAATCTGTTTTACAATTTTATTGTTCATTAAAAAATACATATACTATATACTATGTTTTATTATGTTTTTATATTGTGGTATTGTAAATAGCTAAATACAAAATACTAAAAAAAAACAAACAAAAGGAAACTGTTTTCGCAGATAATCTAGAAGTTATTTCCTGGAAAATTATTGCATAATAATAAACCAATAAAGTAGTATTAAGAGATGCTAGGCATAGCTATCCTTCAAATTCCTAAAATAATAAAATATATATGGGTTCGTTTCAGTCAAATCATTAAATGGCAAAACATGAAACTTATACCTGTTGAGAACTCCATGGTTAATATATAGGTAATATAAGTGAGTACATTTTATTGAGGTTTAACATTTCAATGTTAGAGACCTGTTATGCGTAGAGTAGAGCGGTAATACTACCCAACATTATAATGTTAAAAATTTAAAAAAGAATAAAAGAATTACATATGTTACCTATTATAAAAAACAATTTTCGCGAATATTAAAACACCATAAGCCTTTACCTGAGCTAAGACTACCTAAGACTACCTATGACTGTAATCTTAACAGTAAAAAATTATTAAATAGATAAAAAAACATATATAATTGCTTGTAAAAAACATTTTTGCGAATATAAATAAGGCGAATCCTTCTACAGTTATCAGTCAAACAACGGCATCAATCTAAGTAACATCCTTAACATATCTCTTCGAATCTTGTTACAATAAACAGTCAGAGAACAGCATAAAATTAAGTAACAATCTCATCGTATCGTTTTCAATTCTTAACAGTTTTTGTCAGTCTATCTCTTTGAAAACTGCTACAATTATCAGTCGAAGTACGCAAATATTCTGAATATATTTCATTGAATTCTACAACACAACAGAACAGCTTTTGTCTTAACAATATCCTGAACGTATCTCTTCGAATTCTACAGTTATCAGCCAGAGAACTGCAACAGTCTAATCAATATCCTTACTTATCTGTTCGCGTCTAACATAATCGATTTCATCCAAAATGAAATTTCAAATGTTAATCAAAAATAATGGCAAAAATGGCAAGAAGATATCCGTTGGCTACGCTATATTTCTACATAAGACGGAACTTAATCGTCGCAAGAAGAATAATATACGCCGATACGTTTCTAAAATTAATCTCACCGACGGTTTGATTTACAATGTGAAGAAAAATATTAATTATTGCAGTCCAGATGATTTAGCAGCGATGAGCCGTGAAACAATATTTAAGAAGAAATTGAACACCGAAGTTAATCGTAGAGTTCAGCACGTACAAAAACTGAAGGATTTCTTAAAACTACAAAGGACACCACAGAAACAGGAAAACAAAGTAAAGAAAGGAGTTAAGAGGCAACTTTTCACATAAACTATATTCGATGTAACTTTTTAGACAAGTGGTTCCAGTGACTTTATATAACCAATTCTGATGATAATAGTTTTAAGTATATAGTTTTAAAGTTAAACTCGTATTTGAAAATAAGGTGCATATAGTTGAAAAAAAAATTCATTTTTAATATATATATTTAAGTTTAATAATCACACTTTAATATTTTTAAAAATCATTGTACTCATTTAGTAATTAAGTTTTATAATTAATGTAATATATAATTATATCTTTTGTGTATTTGCTTAATAAAAATAAATAAAATTCAGTTGTACTTAAAATTATATCTTTTATAATTAAATTATTAAACTATTATATATCATGTTACACACTCTTAGGAGAGAAAATTTTTTCCTTTAGAAGCGAACAAAACAAAGGCGCAAATAAAATTCGTTGAGTTTCTTTTAGTTCAAACATTCACAGGCATTCGGGTCCCTGTAGGTAAATGTATTGTTTCCATTGGTTTAATGTCGTTCTTATTGCAGATTCTGTTTTCAATAATACGGATTTCGGCAAATGTGATATATATATATACAGATACCTCTGTTTAAGTTAATACTCTCAAAATCAATAATTCTTTTAGTCAGAGGAGTTTATGCTCAGTTGTGGCAGATCAAGTTTTTTTTTTTGGATGTAGTGACTGAATTTACTATTGGAATAATTATAATATAACCTTTATAATACATAATTTCCATATCTATATTTAATCTGCAGGAAGTTTATATCCGTACCCTTACCTCGTAATATTTTTGAGTTATATTTGTGTCAAAAACAATACTATGTCTATTAGATTTGTTTTGTTTTCTATCTTATATACTATATAAATAATTATTTATATATATAATGTTTAATATATTATATATAATGTATGTTAATATATGTTATATTAGTAGCTTAGGGTTTTATATACAATTTATTTATATAAAAAAGCATCTTTTGAGTTTCGGTACTATGTCTTTTGGTGAATATCTTTACAATAATCTGTATTTTCTGGCAATATGATTTATTGTGTTTTTATTTTCATAAAAATAATACAATTTGCAATGAAGTATAAAAGAATATGATTGTATAGGTAAATATAGGTAAAATATTAAATTATGATTCTATGATCAGAAACTGTTTTGATCCACCACGCAACATTTAATAATTTTTAAATAAAAAATTAATAACATACCTATAATTATATAAAATATCTTTACAAATAAAAATAAATTATTCGTAATTAATTTTACTTTCGTTACCTTTACTAATAAAAAATAAATTCTTATGTCACTTCTTTAGACAAATAGGTTTGTTATTGCATTAATTTGTATTCACTGCACATTGTATAGATATATTCAAAGTATATCTATAATATTATAATAAATTGTATTTACTAATTTTATGAACGCTAAATACTTTAGTAAGCTAGAACAAACCGAAGTCAGTGCTAATTTATTCACCTACTTTCAAATTTGCATTATAAACGTAATTAACAATACATGGTAAGTAAATTATATTAATAATTTAATTAGAATATTCAATAATGGCCCTCAGTATTTTTCTGTAAAATTGTACTATTCATTTTAAAGCCATCTCTCCGTCTCTCTCCCTCAATTTTAAACAAAAGTAAGTTACTAATGAATAAGTTTAATTGTATCTACAATTATATCTCTCTTAAAGATATATTTACAAAAAATATGTAAAGCAAGTACACAAAAAACTGCTTCAATATATTATATATTATTTATATTACAATATATACAATATATTATTTATTTATAATAAGAGAATTATTTGCTTGTGCTCCATACCTTCGTACTTATCTATGACTTCAAGTCAACAGCGGTTTAGGATTTTTTATCCAGGGATATTAAAAACAATGATTAAAATTCATATTGAAATTGGGCTATAAAAGAGTAGTTAATTTTTCTTTATTAATTCTTGAAACAATAATCAGAATGAGGTGGAAAAGTCCATCTTATAAGTTGTATACCTTCATGTTTTAGTCTCCTACTTATTTTTTTTATTATATATATAATATTATTATATATTCCCTCAATGTGGATCGTCGTTATTGACGAGACAACTCGTTGTGATTTTAAACTATATTTGTCAAGACTGCAAGCCTATGTCGTGTCATTCTATTATTTCTAACTCAACATGCACAACCTCGTCTATTCACCTCCGCTTTAAACAACTCCAGCTTTGTCTTGTCGCACGTTATTTCAACATGATTTGTTTTAAAGGATTAATCTCATCCACTATTATTACTTGTTCTGTAAATCTAAGTTAATTTTTTTAAGTTCTCTTATACCATTGTCGCTAACTTTGGTTTTCGTATACAAACCCAAAGATTTTTCACAGTACTTTTCTCGTAAATATTTAGAGTTTAGTTTAATTGTTCTACTGAAGACCCAGGTTGGACTTTAATAGGTATTCTGCGTTGATACTAACAGTCAAGAACTGACAATTTGTGCCTAGTAGGTATTGCAGTTGTTAAGATAAAAATTTTTATTTTTTATATATATTCAAAAACTTTTATATGCCTACTTTTTCTTTATTTACAGAACCTTGTTATGAATCGTTAATGGTGATAATACATATGCCTTTAGCATATGCTCGTACATGTAATTATATAATGTGATTAGATTTTCTGACAAGGATATTGAATAGAATGCATAATATTGAATTCGTAAACTTTAGTTAATATATCAGGACTTAAATAAAAGTTCCGTATGTAATTTCACTAAAACAGATTTTATTTGGGCGTTAAGAATTATAAAAGAGATTATCGTATATTTTAATATATTATTGTATATTATATTTTACATGTATAATGTACATATACATTTACTTGGGATATAGATCAAATATTTATTATTAAAACAAAAACGAAGATTTATCTAATTTAATTACTTAATTTGTTATTACTTATGAACCCAATCATATAAAAAATATTTACATACAAAAATAAAATTAATATTATAAAATAGTTTTATATACAAAGTGCTAAAACACAATAAATATGTATAATTAAGTACTAAGCATTTGCACGTACCCGCCTTTAGGTTTCGTTTCATTTATCATAAAAAAATTATCTAAACTAGAAAAAATAATTTAATTCCCGAAATCTTTAACGATTTAATGGTTCCATTAAGAATTGTATCAACTAATAATGTGTCTCTTCAGTACGTTTAAAGAGAACATTCAGTAATTTTCATATATTATGTTTTTGCCGTCCCAGCGAAGAAGTTTGTAAAGGTGTACAGTTTTCAATCAGAACACTATTGCCTTCTTCCGTTGAGGCCTTATCGGTTATATGTGTACGTTTCAGAGATCGTTTGCGATCGAGTTCACCGTTTGCATTTAATTCGACAGTCTGTAGGCTTTGTGCACGTTGTAAGGAAAGACGTAATGGTTTCTTTGGTGGTGTAGGGCGTATTGTACGCACTTGTGTATCATTAAGAGGTTTGGTTTCGTTTTCGCTTTCAAAGTCCAGAGATTTGACACTGCGCATATCAGAAGGTTGTCTATTGCGTAAGGCAAGCGTATCAGAAGAACGTGGTATGTCACGACGACGTTCGAAGCTATTAGAAAAAACAATAATTTTATAATTGTATATATAATATAAAAAGTATTTTATTACCCATTGTAATGATTGAGGTGTTCCACACTTTTTGCTTGCATTTGTGCTCGCTGTAACAGGGCACTCGTTTTACTAGTCGATCTCTCATAGCGCTCACGATGTCGATCTTTTTCTTTCTTATAATGCTGCATATAAGCAGAATCGCTGTTTATTGATATCTTGGAAGCGGATAATGACTTTGGTGGCATATTGGAAGCATGGGTTGGTGTTCTATTATTGAAGTCTATGTGCGTATTTTCTTTTATTAGCGTTTTAGTGATATGTGTGTTCGAGTTGGGTTTTGGTAATGAATTAGTATTTGAAACTATGTTATTATCACCAACTAGTTCTATTGGTTTACCACCTACAAGTGTGGTGATGTAATTGCCACGCTGAAAGACAAGCGGTTTCTCGGGAGGTGTAGATGGTGGCGAAGATATGCTGATGCTAGTTATATGTGCATTCGTGCCTGTATTATTATTGCCGTTTTGTATATGCTGTGGAAATGTTTGATCTTTTGTTGTTTGTAATTCCTTAACTTGTTCTTCTAAATAAGAAATCCTATGTTGCAAGCGCATATTGTTTTCCTTTTCTTGATCAAGCTGTTTTTGTGGTATTTGTGCAGTTTTTTTACGCAGCACTACCATTTGGCATTTTCCCGAATTACCTACAAGTTTTTGAAGTTCCTCTTTTGTTTGACAAGCAACCAATTTGCCATTCACTTCTAGAATACGATCACCTTTGTAAAGACCATCACCTTCAAGTGCCCAATCGATAAAAACACCGGTTTGTTCTGTTTTAATTTGTGCAGCCCAACGCCCTGAAGTTGCATATACCGCATGTAAGCTCAAAGATATACCCGCATTCAAGATACTAAAGTAAGAAACAATTAATATAAATTCTAAATAATTATTTTTATCAAATTTATTACTTATAAAGTGTTTGCAGTTCTGGTTTTGATTTTTCCAAACGTGCTTGCAATGCTCGGGCCTCTTCTACAACAGAAAGCAATTGTAATTCTTCTCTACCGAGTGCATACTCAAGTTCAGCTTGCCGTATTCTTATATCAATGTTACTAAATAGTATAGTTAAGATATGATATATTACATCAGTCTTAAAATTGTTTAATAAAACTTACTCTGTTATGTCCAATTTTTCTAAGGCAATTTTTAAATTTTTAATTTTGATTTTTTTATTTTCTGCTTCAGTTTTCAATTTTTGTAATTTCAATTCTGCGGCAGGTTTTTCTGCATCATCCAGTGGAGGACCCGTTGGTCTTGGAAGTTTTCCTAAACATAATTGAATTCTCAAATTTTGTATTGCCGCCTCACGATCCTGTAAAGCTGATCTTAACTCTTTCGTTTCACTGCGTGCTGTACGAGCAGATAGGGTGCCACCTAATCCGGAACTTTTTCTTCGTCGTCCAGTTGTAGAACATTGTGAAATACTAGTATTTAAGTTTATGTCATCGTGATTATCATGATGTAGGCTGTATTTTGCAGCCGAAGCACAACTTCTGGGATGTAATATTGTCTGTAAATAACATAAATATATAAGTCAAAGGTTATTAGTTAATATATGTATGCAGTTATGTAGACTGTATGTGATTTGAATTAAATGACATTAATGAATTTCAAGGTATTATGTGATATAATTTTTAGGATGAAAAAAATGTTGAATTAATTATAAAGTATTGAAATTGAATATTAATTAAATAATAAATAATATTTTATTTTATAATAACGTGCATACATACCATGTTAGTATGTATATAATATTTTAATTGAAATTATGATTGTGTTGGGAACTTTTTTCTTTTCATGTTGTTGTAGCTCCATTTACCAAATATCATGAAAGAATTACAAATATGTATACATGGGTTAGAATATGGTTGTATAAAAGAAGTGTAAATGAGAATAGGATTAATGTTAATTTTTTTGTCAAATGTGACATGTCTTATGACAAAAAGAAACTATTTAAAAGTAAGAAGGGTTCGAATAGAAATAAGAAGACAAGAACAAACAACAATTTGTTGGAATTTGGCTGACCATACAATGATGTTCCTAGTATTGTCAAGTACTTCATCAGTGGTCTAAGGAAATATTCGAATTTTTTCACTAGTTTATTGTTCGTATATAATTTATTTCGACTGCAAGTGCCAGGCTTATAAGTCGTGCCTGTTAAATGAGATTGTTTTGGAACAAGAGTGGATTTTAATTAAATCTAACCTAGGTTTAGGTAGAGAAACTTCGCCACTTCAATGAGACGAAACCAAAGATCAATTGGGCTGCATTTGATGTGTGTATTAGAATATGAAAAGAGATAGGTAACAGATTGGGAGTAAAGCTGCAGTGAGATTCTCTCGTTTGACTTTTAACTGTTAAAGAAGAATAATGTTAGGACTACAATTTGTAAGTCTTTTTCGTTGCATTTCATAACTTCTTTTATAACTGCATTTTATAACAGTTCTTAACAGTGTAGAAGATATATAATGATCACAGTGATTTTGTTCAAAAGCAGCTAAATTATATATTTTATTTAAAAATTTATTTTTTAATTTAATTTTAATAAAATTTTTTAAAATATTTATAAATATAGAAAATATTTATAAATATAGAAAATATTTATAAATATAGAAAATATTTATAAATATAGAAAATATAAGATACTATGAGGGTCTATAACTAAAGTTAAGAATTTCATGACGAGATGTATAAATTGAAATTGATCAAAAGTGTTAAAAAATGGATTTTATTAAATATTTTCACTAACTTATTACATTTTGATTAACACATTTAAAAATGGATTCATTTGATTATTAAAATTTTTTATTTTAAATGCTTTCAAAAATACATATACATTTGCTCTTACATTTAACATGAATACAAGTTATTTAAAATATATATATTTAAATATATTTAAATTTGTAAACTGATATTTAAATTTGTAAACTGGTACAGTATCACTTAATGTTATTAAGAACTTCTTTTCTTAAATTGTAGCAATTTCAGGCCTCTTAGACTTCTATTTTACTCTTTTGGAATATCATATAAGCCGCATTCACGATTTGCAGGTAAAGATGCATCTAAAAGATTTAAATTTTTATGTATTATTGAGCATTCTTTTATATAATTTTTATTTTTTTTTAAATTTAAATAGAGGAATGTAAAGTATATAAATTAAAATAAATAAGGTGATTATAAATTCTAATATATATATATTTAATATATTCATTGTAATATATTATATAAATATAATACAAATAAGGATTAAATAATAAGGATTATAATAAACAATTCCATATTATTATTCACCTATTTTTCTTGGATATGGAAGATTTAAATTATCCATTATTTGTATAAATTCCTCTAAATTCTTTGTTAAACGTGGATTATATTGTTTCTCTTCCCAAACAGAACTCTCTAATTGTCCTCTGAAATTAAAAAATTTATTTTTCAATTAAAATAATTTCTCTTATATGCTGTTAACTTACTTGTAATCATGTGCTGGATAAATTCTGAAGTTTTCCGGCAATGTAAAAATCTTTTCATGTACATTCTCATACAAGCTTTTTGAGTTGCCTTCTTGAAAATCTGTACGTCCACAACCACGTATAAGTAATGTATCACCGGTAAATACACATCCTTGTTCGTGCACTACAAAAGTCATGCAACCGTTGGTATGTCCAGGCGTTGCTAAGGTGTTAATGGTATGACGTCCAAAGGTCACAGTGTCACCTTCTTGTATATGTTTATCGGCTTTGGCGCCACTATTGCCTGATATAACTGATTGACAGCCAGGAAGCAATTTCTTCAGCCAACCACTGCCGGTTATATGGTCTGCATGCATGTGTGTATTGACTGAAGAAATCAAGTTGTTATATGTATAATTAATGTAATATAATTGTAAATGTGGATTTATTGCTATTATTAATGTTATGGCTACTTGGTTGCTATTGGAAATAGTTTTCTACAATTATTGGTTTGCGTGATGTTTGCTTGTAAAAGTTTGTAATTAAATGTTAGTAAAGCAAAAAAGTGATACGCCATGGATATATGTGTATAGATAATTAGGACAAACAATGTCCAGTAGTTAAATTAACTCCACGAAAGTGTTTGCTATATTTCACAAATTTGGTGAAATCATTTTTTTGATTTGTTATATAATTAGCTAGAACACGATAAATACGTTAACTTCATTTAATTTATTTAGTTAGTTACCATATTAGTATTTTTATAATTTTCTTGTTCATAAACATTTAGCTAATATATCTAAATATATCTATGGAAGAAAACATTGAAAAATATTTAAATAAGCTAACATCAAAAATGCTGATTCACGATGATCATTGTAAATTGTTTTTATTTTATTCATTGCTCATCAGAACAGTTTACTCTCTTCAACCTAATATTTCATATAAACATGTTTTATAGTTCAAAGGAAATTTGATCAGATTCTAAAATTATTTTCAAAATTTATAACGAAATTAATATTCATTGAATTTTTAGGTTTTAAAGGTCAGTGAAAGGGCGTTGAGCTCCAAGATATATTTTTAATTCTTAATAATTTCAACTCTACTTTTGGAGTACCTATATGTAAGCTATATGTATTGAATTTGGGTTTGAAAACCTTAAGTGATTTTTTTTAATTAATATTTTAAATTCATAATACTATTTGTTCTGCTATATATGTGATCTTATCATATATTTTATTAAATAAATACTAAATCCGCTTTAAAAAACATAACTTTATCAAAATATTAATTTTTTGGGTAATATTCCACTGGTTAATCAGTAACCAAATTAGTTAAATAAAATCTAGATTTTATGATAAGAATGGAAAAAACAAATGAAACGAAATAGTTAATAATATTTCCTAATTATGTGCTTAATTAAACATTTTTTCGCACTGATTCTGATAAAAATATATGTAATCAAAAAGTTAATATAGTTATCATATCGAAATATTTAGATATAAAGCTGGTATAGTTTATTGGCATACCATTAACAATATTACTTCAACAAAACTTTTTCTTAATAATACTGAATATTTCATATGTAACAATTTTATACATACGTGCATATTTTAGTGTTAATCCCAAATCCTCAACCAATTTTGCATCACGCTTGGCCTGCTCTAAGACAGGATCAATTATAACAGCTTCGTGTGTGTTGAGATCAGCTAAAAGGTAAGTGTATGTGCTACTTTCCGTATCGAAAAGCTTAAAACAGAGTTGTTTAATATTACATACTTTATAAAGCCAGTTTTAATTTTAAAGAATAATATTAAATCAGTTTATTGTAAATATATAAGCACATGAAAATATTCAATACAATGTATGTATTTTTGGGTATGTTTATATACACATCACAATAACCTGACGCTTTATTTTTAGTACACTTTTAGTAGACTTACCTGTCGGAAGAAGAAATCGTTTGAAAAAGAAATGCGTGGTAACATTTTGGAATCTGCACTGCAATGGTGTAAGCGATATTTGTTTAAAAGTGGCGCAGTAGTTGGATTTAACGTTACAAATTTATTCGATTGCAATACTCCACGCCTAACTGCTGAAAGCAAACTGAGCGATGGTAATTTCATATTTTTGCTTTTTTAACTTTACACAATCTTCGGCGATAGTAAAACTTATTATTTGTTGTTGTTGTTGTGTTTTCAGCTGTTATTGCTTTTCTATGCTTTTGTCGGCTAATCAAAATGATTGCTCAGTGAGTAACTTTGTTTGTGTATTGTAATAAAAACGCTTCGAAGTTTATTAAGTTTTGTTTTATGATTTAATTATTTATACACTTCTGTTTTGCTTCTTCGTTTCTACAAAGTATTTTTTGTTATTAAATTTTTATTGTTTCTATATTATTATTCTTGCTTTGATTCATTCATAAAGCTGTTTTTTCTTAAAACAAATATATTTTGTTTTTGTTTTTATTGCCAAAACGTGCCATGTAAAAATATTCTAAAAGTTATTAAAAAAATATTTGCAACACTTGTTTTAATCACTTTTGCATTTACAGAATGAGTTTCTTTCACTTTTTAATGTTTTAATTTCAGAAACTTTTTAAAATACATAAAATTTCATTGTAATTTTGATTTATAAAAATTGTATTTATTCTGCACATTTATCCACGGAACAGCTGGCACAGACTAACGAAAATCTGTTTTGATATGCCAAAAGTTTGGTGCGTAAGCTTAAAGCTTTTTTCCAAAACCTGTTGCTTAAAGCTTTATTGTTTATTTTTTAGTTATGTATGCGAAGTACAAAGAAATACGTACGTGATCTGTTTTATATACTTAATGGAGAACGTTTTTGTTTTTGTTGTTTATATTTACCTGTGTAAATTCGCGAAAATGCTCACACGAGAAATGTTAATATGCCGGTAAATCGGTTGATTAGCGACTTCAATTAACGAGAAAATTGATATCAACCGTATTATATTACAAAACAATATTTCAACTTTATCTTTGAGTTAATAAGTATATAAAAGCTGTTTATTATATATACAAATAAATTGATTGATCATATAATTAATTATTGGTGGTTGGTAATCAGGCCCGTAATCAGGAATTTACCTCGGGGCTCCTTCAGATAATTTCAGTACTTAATAAAATTTTTATATTAAATTTTTATATATTATATTCAATATATAACAGTGTTACTAATACTAAAAAAAAGAAAACAATATTCAAATTTAATTGCGGGAAATTTTTAAAATTTTCAGAACATTCGAATATGAATAATTGATTATATTCAACATGCTGTCAAAGTAGAATTTTATACACCTAAATTCACCACACTGTGGATTTAATAAAGCTTACAGATTTTGCAAAGATCATTCATAAACGATATCATCTCGATACATTGAAGCAAGGTTTTTTAAGATTAACTAAATTAAATACTGACTTATTTTCATTTTATATTTGAAATTATTTCAAACATATATTTATTAGCAACAAGTGGATGAAATCCTTGAATATAAATTTAAACGATTACCTGGAGAAAACTTTAAAATTTAAGTCGTGTTGAAAAAACTTTATTTTTTGTAAGATGTTCGGATATTTTAATATAAAAACTTTTTTAGAATTTACGGGTAACAGCTGCTTTAAAGTCCAATTTATTTTACACAAAAAGGGTGGAAAATTATATTTTTAAAAGAAAGTTCTCAAGCATTTATAACTGAAATTGTTTACTTTAAAGATAAGAAAATCCTTTTTACGATTTTAATATTCTAACTGTGCACAGAAGTAATTAAATGAAAAAAAAAAAATGAGTCTATAAATTTTAACTTCAGTACAAACTGTATTTACCTATGTACACTACTGATAATCATAGGATGATGAGGAAAACGAAAGGAAGCACATTACTCAAGAATTTTCTTTAAGCGTTCTTTGAGAGCTCTTAGCGCGTTCTTTTGTAACATCTGGAAAATACTCGTAAAAACTCTGTTTCGCAGCGTGACTTTTATAGTTTATGTGCTAGACAATAGGCGTTGAAAGGTCGAATTTTTATAAATAAATTCCCGAAAATTTATTTGAGGTTTTTATAATGTTTATATGCTGTGAATTGTTTAACGTTTGCTGTTTTTTAGTTTTGTACAACTTTCTCCGAAATTCTTGTATAAGAGTTGCAGGGGTTATAACCTCTTAAAATAAATTACATATTGTAATTTGAGGCTAAATTAATTAGAGAACATTTTTCACAAAATTACTCATTCGTTTTTATCGTTACATGCTGAGATTAAAATTTTAGCAAATTAGATTTTTAAAAAGGTTATGTATAGATACACGCAAAATAGGTAAATAACTAGATGAATATATGTCCAAAGATTTTAATGTAAGGAAACAAGTTTTTTTGAAAGAGATATTTTTCAACTTGTTATTAGAATAGAATTGATGTGGAAATATAATATTTGTGTTTAATTTTTTAATTTAGTTACTAACTTCATTACATTGCTTAATCTGGTATAATATGAATCTGTTCTTCATATTAAAGTCATCTTGATAGAAACCGACAGAGTTTTAGTGTATATTTTTATGAATCAATCCATACAATATAGAGTTTTAGATATCTTAAAAGGTAGATAATAGAAGATCCATACAATATCGAGTTTTAGATATGTTAAATGGTAGATAATAGAAGATAGTAGTACTAGCTTATTTCAAGGGTATCAGTTCACTTTTGGTTTATAAAACAGGTTCTTTATGATGTCATAATAACTTTTATGATAACTATTATGATAACCATTTTTACTAGATCCGTTAGTTTCCCTTACAATCCGGCTATGTATTTTATATCTACATTGGATTTTCTTAGCTTTCTAATGTTAGCGTGGTCTTCTCATTACAGTTTATGTGTAGTGATGTATTATTAACTCAACTTTTTTGACTACGTACTCTATTAGATCAAAATAGTAACTCATATAAAAATCACGACCTTTGATTATTACGACCTATTATCAAAACCTTGTAACTATTTGCGCAACAATTACGCCACCTATAATTCTAATGCTCTTAAATATAGGGTCTTCCTTTAGTGATAATTTATACTCTAACAACGGCACTCAGCATTCGATAGTGAGTATGGTTAACATATCGATGATTTTCATTTAAATACTTATGTCCGAACAACGTTTTCAATTATTTATATATGAGTATGTATTTATTTAAAATATATAGAATGTCAATTAAAAAATTTTTATACACTATACACTACACTATGAGACTTTGTTGTTCATTTTTGTTTATTTAAAGTTAAAAAGACCCAAAGACGAGTCATCAATATACTTTCGTCGATGTACTTTTAAAAGCGTAGCGTTTGAGTAGTGTTTCCATAAAAATATTAAAAATTGGTGTTACTGTTTATGGCGTCAAGAAAATACTCCGGATTTCAATGATATTCCGGATGTCGTCACATATTGAACTGTGGCATGGCATTCTAGATATTAATATTTATCGCGAGTACAAAAGTGACGTGTATTGGTATTGGGATCTGCTGATGCGTCAATTATGATCAATCCCTGTAAGCAAGCATTTACAGCGCCTATTATAAAATGCTATTTTAAATATTTAAAAATCTTATGGAAAATTTGAGTTCCAACCGAAATGAGCTATTTTAATGCGTTTTATAAAAATTCGATATCGAATAAAAATATATTTGATTGTTATGAGTGTTGTTGAAAAAACCACATACTCAGAGAAAACGCAGTATAACGAAATAATTCTATGGTTAATTTGATTAAATCAAATAGTAATTAAATAGTAAATTCTAGGATTTCTAATCACATAAAAAATTCGCTTTCATATTATAAGTACAGTAAATATTACAGTAAAATATTATTGTGATGGTGAAGGGATGGAGCATATCAACTTGCGATTGAATTGATGCTGTTGGGTTATAGGTTATAGATCTTAAAATTAGAGGAAGTAATGTCTTAAGAACCTCACACGTTTCTTATTATTACAAAATATATTATTTTTGTGAGTCAAACCTTGATTAATTTTTTTATTTCTTTTATTTGAATATAATATCATTACTGCTCAATTTCTATATTTTATATTATGTAATTATACAACTTCCGAAAAGTAATCAAAGAAGGTAACTGAACATAAGAAAAGTCAATTAGTTAATGTTGGGTTTAATGAACTTCCCAAAGCAATTGTAAATTGGTATGGTGTGTTTTTGTAATTTGGTGTGGCAATGCCTTTGTAATTTCAATTAAATGAGCTTAACTGAAAACCTTTTGAATTACTGAACAACAATGTTTTTATTACGTGTTAATAAATTTGAAAATCGATATGAATTGAATTAAAGTTTAATTTTTTTTTTTAATAACGATAACATTTAAACAATTAAATTGTAATTTTATATTTTGCTTGAAAAGTACAGTCTACTGTCCATAATTTATGGATTTACTGAAGTTGGAAGGTTGATGTGTTTATAAAAAGTATTAAAATTAAATAATAGTCAAAAGTATGAGTAATTTTTTATATTAATTTTGTAAGTCATAAATTTTGTATAGAAAACAATATGTTTTCATATATTATTTGTTATTATTTTTTTGTTATCAATGTACAACTGAACCCTGCCATAAAGAAATGGTCAGTAGGGAAAGTATCGATAGTGTTTTTCTTTACATTCAAATATTTATTTATTTTGCAAATAATTAATTTGCTTTTCGCTTTCATGTTACAATTGAATGATTTTGTAAAGAAAGTCTTTAAAATAATTTTTTGCTAACTTATTGCCTGCCGTAATAAAAATTAATATTTACAAGTATATACCACGAATGAGGCACGAATGTAGTTTTTTTTGTGTACAATTAATGTTACATTTGTCTATATAGTTTCCATAATTAGACAAAAAGATACGTAGAAGACTTTCATAAATTACATTTTCAAATTTTTTTGGAAAATGGAAATTTAAATATGATTTGTAATAGTGAAATATCTTACAAAGAGTTTGAAGCACTTTTTGAATCGATAGCTTATAAATTAATACTTTTCCAATATAATTAAACTTTAATCTTGTTGAAATATTTTTCCTTTGTAGTTCGTCCGCATGGTGGTTTTGTACAAGAACACTTTTATAACGATTCTTTTCTTAGTACTATGACTGTAGTCCGACAAAATTTTATTTTAAAGATGTTAATATTCATCACCAACAAGTAGCTTTATAGTTCTTTAGGCTTTACCTTTATCTTCACTGTAGAACATAATAAATAGCTCAATCTGCACAGTGAGCGATGTCACCCAAGCGATCCTGCTTGTTGCCACTTTCCTAAAATTTTGTGCTTTCGTAAGACACTACACAGTCTATCCATCTAAGCTTAAATTTTTCTGGTGCCCTATAACACTGCGCAGGGAGGATAAAAATGGGTGTATTGTTACAGATAAAGGTAAACATGTAGCAGTTTGAAAGCCTATATGAAGATACAATTCCAATTCTATAATACAGTTCATTTAGTACTAAAGTAATTCGTACAAAAATGATTAGAAAGCACAAGATGCTATCTAATTTGCAATCATATTATCATTACAATGAGTTTAATCATCAGGTTTACAGGACATGTCTGTGATAGAAGCCAGGTATGAAGACACAATTTTAGTAAATCATTAGAATACAGTTCACTTAGTACTAAAGAAATTCATACAGAAATTATAAGAAGGGACAAGATGTTACAAATAAAGGTAAACAGGTAGCAGTTTGAAAGCCACACTGTGATAACATAGAAGCCAGATTGTGTCTTATAGGAAGGTACAATTCTAATAAGTCATTAGAATACAGTTCATTTAATACTAAAGAAATTCGTACAGAAATTATTTGAAAGTACAAGGTGTTATTTACTGTGTAATCATATTATCAATAAAATGAGTTTAATCCTCAGATTTAGAGGACATATCTGTGATAGAAGCCAGGTATAAACACACAATTCTAATAAATCATTAACACGGAGATTACTTAGGACTAAAGAAATTCATACAGAAATTATTAGAAAGGACAAGATGCTATCTAAAGTGCAATCATATTATCATTAGAATGAGCTTAATCTTCAGGTTGTAATGAATTTCAAGTACAAAGCTTTGAAAAAGTCCCTGACACAATGACTGAGTAGGTACAATGCCCATGACCACTAAATAAAATTATTAAAAATAATGAATTTAAAAATTTATTCAAATAGTTTTTTAAACCTTTTGCTTGTATTATTAATCAATAATAACAAAAGTTCTGTGATTTTTATTTTAAGAAAAATACTTGAATATATTCACATCCATGTTATTATTTGTAAATTTTTTTTTGTACTTCAGTCAATGATATAAAAGAATTAACATTTTTTAATAAAGCAAATTTTTGAAAGAAACTTTTTGAGCACATTTCAGTTTTGAATATTAAAACGACTGTTGCCGCTTTATATTCATTCATATTTAAATAGGATTTGAAGCATTGATAGTCTAATGGGAAACTTGTGTTATTCCGTCAGAGATAAGTTAATTAATATGATAAGTTAACTGTGATAAAATGTTGACAAAAGATGACATTCAGCTTTTTATTTATTATTGATTTTTGAAATGAACTTACCATAGATGCGGATTTTTGTTTAGCAAAAGCACGATGATGTGCTGATATCGGTTCACTAACAACGCTGCCAGAATCCATTTTTCTCGTTTAAGTAATCATGCGAATTTTTAAAATCTGAAGGAAAAAAGAAAAAATTAAAACAAATGTTCATTATAAATAATTAATAGTTAAAAAATATTTAAAAGGTTATAAATAAAACATTTGTGTGTGAAAGACTAATGGAATAAGTCTTAAAACAAACTTCAAAATGTATCTGTGAAAATTTACTTTATAATTATGTCTCGACAGCATAATGATTCCAATGCCAAAGCATACGATTTTTTACATATAGTAAAAAAATTCTGTCAGATGTTAATAGACACTTAACTACTTATACCTATATGTATTGTCTACTATAAATTTATGCTTAATCGAATAAATGTGTAACTTATGATATCTCAAAATTTCCAAAAGTTTATTAAACAACGTATATTATAGTATATATAGAGAATATGTATTGGAATGGTAGTGCACAAATGTTCATGGAAGGTCGCTAAAAATGAATGTCAAAGAGAGACATATATTACATATATATTATCAAGAAGTTGCATATATAGCCATTCAAAACTTGCAGTTTTATAGCTATATGTTCAAGTTAGATCTTAAAATTGCTCAATATATAAAGTAACCTATAATAGAAGGATGATATGCAAATATCTGTGCACTAACACACTAAACATTATTATTTTTGTTTTTATTTATTAGTAATGATAGTTTAGATTATAAAGCTAATACTAACGTATAGGTATAGGTCTGGGTATTGAGGTCTTCAGTTATGTGCTATGACAAATTGATACTAAATGCTTATAATTATATAGCTATATTATAGTATGGCATGTTTATACAATACAATACTATAATACATATACTTATATTATACACTAAACATTATCTTTAGCATTGCCTACTGAAAATTCCCATCGGTTCGCATTGGCAGCACTTCACTTTTATTTCTCGATTTTTGTTTTTATACTGCTTGATAGCATCTTCGTTATAATTAATTAATTATTTATATTTAAATTAGAGCAGAAATATGAAGAAATATATATCTTATATATAAAATTAAGATTGTCAAAATGTTAGTTACCGTACTCCTCCGAAACGGCTTTACCGATTT